ACAACACATTAAATAAAAGAATGTGAGAAGAAACACTTGGAAATATGAAATATGAAATTGTTAAGCTTTTTATCTGAATTAGATATTCAGAGTCTTCTTTGTAGGTCTTTCTAATTTCATTTAATTGTTATAAATTCTAAAGATATTCCTTGTCTTTTGCCAGCCCATAAGTTGGCTATAAATTTGTATCATTTCTTACTTGGCAGCTTTCACATTTTTTCCTGGCAGGCATTGTCTTTGATTTTTTGAGGTGTTTAGTTTTTTCACATACATTGTCTTGTTCTAAATTTTTTGTGAGGCACGCGACACGCTCCTCTGATTTATCTGTGTTTACCGACTTTGTTTTTTGTTTAGCCTGCTGACCGCGAAAAAAAATACTCATTAATTCTGATGGATCAAAACTAAGCGGAATTCTATTTTGATAAAAGTGAAAAGCTTAGCGGCTATTTTGAACTTATTTATGATCGGTTCGACATCATATACTCATGAAAAATTAAACGTTTTTTTAACTTAATTAAAATTTACGACAAAACTTATGTGGGGCGTCAGCAAATGGATAAAGTAAACTAAAAATAAATAAAATTATAAATATTGATAGTAAATATAACTAAAAAAAAATCGTGTCTAGATGATTCACTCGGCTTTATATCAATCCTGTTTTTCACTTTAATAAGTAAATTTTTTGTCAACAACAACAGAGTTTTCTTTTCTTACTAATGATCCGCCTCACAATATATACGAAATAATGTTTTGACAGCAGAGAACTGATGGAATTTGTTGTATATAAACCTCTTCCCGAATTTAAAAATATCAAGAATTAAATATAAATTCAGACACGTGCATGATAAAGTCTCTCTAAATTAATCGTTCCAGAACATATTCAGATATTGGGGTATAAATAGCTTTTAATGCATTTGTGACATATACTTTTTGGATCGGTGAGGGAGGGAATCAGAACATAGGGACGTGACTATATAATGTTCTATGTGAAACACACACAGATGTGACTGGGGAACTTAAAAAGTGTGTCCTATATTTGACCTCAAAGATATTCAGGAACGATGTTGTTTTTATTTTTCTTTTTTTGATGGCGTGGGAAAGTATAAAAGCAATTGTAGGCGTTGGTGGAAATTTCTTTGGAAAGCCAGAAGATTACTAGCTACTCAGTCGATGCACAACATTCGTTCAGTTGAGAAGTGAATTGGACTCCGGGTCCCAAGTGCCAAGGATTATTTAACAAGGATACTCATCCAGCCCAACCAAGAATTCCCAATACTTACTATATATATTCGTGGGTGTGTCTCTCTAGCAGAGGAAAAGTACGTGGAATTCTGTGAAATATTGTGAAATTAAAATAAATTTATCAGCTTATTAGTGAGGTAGTTTCATAGTTATTTGATATCCTTTTCGAAAACTTTTGAAAAACTTTTGGAATTCTTTTGAGGCAAATAACATTCGGTCCAATTAATTCACTTTTTGGTGCGGCAAAAAAACGATCTTCGATCTTTAGATCTGTGCAGAGAACAGAAATAGATTTTGTGGAATAAAAAATGGAACGCAGATTTGAACATAAAAATGAAATTATGATTTTTTCAAACTTGTGGCGCCGCCCACGCAAATTATTTGAAAAATGCTTTGGTGACATAATTTAGCGTATACAAAACACATCCATTAAATGTTCCTCAAATAGAGTTTTTAATCGTATGTGTTTTTGGGGTGACGAACTACAAAGGAAAAACAAATAGTACAGTTTTTGAAAAACATATATTTTGAGAGCACTTTTTTAAAAATGTATTATATTTATTTAGATTTACAATAAACGATACAGAAAATAAAAAGAAAAAATATATATATTTAAAGCTCATATTTAGATTTACAAGTATTTATAAATCAATTTAAATTAGAGCTGATGTTCTCTGTAAAAGTAATGCATAAAGACAATGTTTTCTAACGAGTGATTTTGTTCTCTTTTAGCTGAAGTCAGAATGCCAAGCGGTAAAGTAGACAAACCCGTGATCCAGGACAACCGTGATGGTACCGTCTCCGTGAAGTACGATCCCCGCGAGGAGGGATCCCACGAGCTGGTGGTCAAATACAACGGAGAACCCGTGCAAGGTGAGTTCTTAGCTGCCTAACTTGCTTCCCAAATGCTAATAATCATTTTCCAACAGGATCTCCCTTCAAATTCCACGTCGATTCGATCACCTCCGGTTATGTGACTGCCTATGGACCCGGTCTGACCCACGGAGTCACCGGCGAGCCGGCCAACTTCACCATCTCCACCAAGGGTGCCAGCGCCGGTGGACTGACCATGGCCGTCGAAGGACCCAGCAAGGCTGACGTAAGTGGAATCCTCATGCCAAAGAAATGAGATTCAATTAATTGGGTTGGCAATTTACAGATCAACTATCATGACAACAAAGACGGCACTGTTTCCGTGCAATACCTGCCCACTGCCCCCGGCGAATACCAGGTGTCGGTACGCTTCGGCGACAAGCACATCAAGGGATCGCCCTACTTCGCCAAGATCACCGGAGAGGGTCGCAAGCGTAACCAGATCTCGGTGGGATCCTGCTCGGAGGTAACCATGCCCGGCGACATCACCGACGATGATCTCCGCGCCCTGAACGCCTCCATCCAGGCGCCCAGTGGCCTGGAGGAGCCGTGCTTCCTCAAGCGCATGCCCACCGGCAACATTGGCATCTCGTTCACGCCCCGCGAAATCGGCGAGCATCTGGTGTCCGTGAAGCGGCTGGGCAAGCACATCAACAACTCACCCTTCAAGGTGACCGTGTGCGAGCGCGAGGTCGGCGACGCCAAGAAGGTCAAGGTGAGCGGAGCTGGCCTCAAGGAGGGTCAAACGCACGCCGACAACATCTTCTCCGTGGACACACGCAACGCTGGCTTCGGCGGTCTCTCGGTCTCCATCGAGGGCCCCAGCAAGGCGGAGATCCAGTGCACGGACAAGGACGACGGCACGCTCAACATCTCGTACAAGCCCACCGAGCCGGGCTACTATATTGTCAACCTGAAGTTCGCCGATCACCACGTGGAGGGATCGCCCTTCACTGTGAAGGTTGCCGGCGAGGGCAGCAACCGCAAGCGCGAGAAGATCCAGCGGGAGCGCGATGCTGTCCCAATCACGGAGATCGGCAGCCAGTGCAAGCTGACCTTCAAGATGCCCGGCATCACCTCGTTCGATCTGGCCGCCTGCGTCACCTCGCCGAGCAACGTGACCGAGGATGCCGAGATCCAGGAGGTCGAGGATGGCCTCTACGCCGTGCACTTTGTGCCCAAGGAGCTGGGCGTGCACACCGTCTCGGTGCGCTACTCCGAGATGCACATACCCGGCTCGCCGTTCCAGTTCACTGTGGGACCCCTGCGCGATTCCGGCAGCCATCTGGTCAAGGCCGGAGGCTCTGGATTGGAGCGCGGCGTTGTCGGCGAGGCGGCCGAGTTCAATGTGTGGACCCGCGAGGCGGGCGGCGGATCGCTGGCCATCTCTGTGGAGGGTCCCAGCAAGGCGGACATTGAGTTCAAGGACCGCAAGGACGGCAGCTGCGATGTGTCGTACAAGGTGACCGAGCCGGGCGAGTACCGCGTGGGTCTGAAGTTCAACGACCGCCACATACCCGACTCGCCGTTCAAGGTGTACATCTCGCCGGATGCCGGCGATGCCCACAAGCTGGAGGTGCAGCAGTTCCCCCAGGGCAACATCCAGGCCGATGCCCCCTACCAGTTCATGGTGCGCAAGAACGGCGCCAAGGGCGAGCTGGACGCCAAGATTGTGGCTCCCTCGGGCACCGACGACGATTGCTTCATCCAGGTGATCGACGGCGAGATGTACTCGGTGCGCTTCTATCCGCGCGAGAACGGAATCCATGCCATCCACGTCAAGTTCAACGGTGTCCACATACCCGACTCCCCATTCAGAATCAAGGTTGGCAAGGATGTGGCCGATCCGGCTGCCGTCCACGCCAGCGGCAATGGTCTGGATGAGGTGAAGACCGGACACAAGGCCGACTTCATCATTAATACCTGCAACGCCGGCGTTGGCACACTGGCCGTGTCCATCGATGGTCCCTCCAAGGTGGCCATGGACTGCACGGAGGTCGAGGAGGGCTACAAGGTCCGCTACACCCCGCTGCTGGCCGGCGAGCACTACATCACGGTCAAGTACAACAACATGCACATCGTGGGCTCGCCATTCAAGGTGCACGCCACCGGCGACAAGCTCGCCGACGAGGGCGCCCAGGAGACGTCGTCGGTGGTCGTCGAGACCGTTCAGAAGGTAGCCAAGGGCGGCAAGAACACCGGCGTCCATCTGCCCAACTTCAAGTCCGATGCCACCAAAGTGGTGTCCAAGGGCATGGGCCTGAAGAAGGCCTACATCGGCAAGCAGAACCAGTTCAGCATCTGTGCCACCGATGCGGGTAAGTTGGGATCTTGTGGGATTTATATATAATACATAGCTGCATTCAAACATATCCATTTGGTAATTCATTTGTTTTTTATCTAAGGAGTAAAGTGATGTATTTGTAAACCCTATTTTAATCGCACATTTTATTCTTTCCAGGCAACAACATCCTGTATGTGGGCATGTACGGACCGAAGGGACCCTGCGAGGAGTTCCACGTGAAGCACGCTGGCCACAACAACTACAATGTGCAGTACCTGGTGCGCGATCGCGGCCAGTACGTGCTCCTAATCAAGTGGGGCGAGGAGCATATACCCGGCTCCCCATTCCAGATCGATGTGTAGAGGGCTCCTATATAGCCGCCGGCCAGGCATATGTGTACGTGTAGATATATATGCTTCGCATGTGTATGTGTGTGAGGGCGCGCATGTTCCAGGGTCAAAAGTCGTGTGTTTCTTGTTTTCATCATAACGCTCTTTGTTTAATTTTAATTTCTTGATTTATCACCATATTTTTAGGTAAGTTTTTGTTATTTGTGTACATACATGGAAGGAAGAAGCTTCTGTTTTTCGACGCGCCATTCTCACTCTTTAAATTGATCTTACGTTTTATTTGTTTTTCTTGTGAATACATAAAATTAACAATAGCCGGTATGTGAATTTTGATAAACTTTATGGAAACGAACTTAAAACACAACTTCGACACACAAGAAATACTATTGCAATGCGAATAAATCTCTTAAACAATTATTTAATACTTAAGCGAAAATTTATGACGATTATAATGATTATGACGTATTATGTTTTCTATTATCACTATCGATCATGTAATTTACGTGAAATAAATCAAAACTCAAAAAATTAACTCTACAGTCGTAATTCTGAATTCCTTTTGCAAGGAGTGTGTTTAACACCAACGTGTACAATGGAAATAATTGTGTAAATTAAACTTAAACCAAAACATTACTCTTTGCTGGACTTTTCGAGCACGCTGTACACCGTCCCGTAGCGATTGAACTGCTCGAAGATGTCGTCGTCGCTGGCACTGGAGGTCGAGATGTTGGCCAGGGTCTGCTCATTATGCGGAACACTCAGGGCGGCGGCCAGTTGGGGCGTGGGCTGGTAGTAAACCGAGTGTCGGCTGTCAAAGCTTCGACTGCCGATGTGGTATTTGAGGTACTTGCGGGCCCAACGATCCCCGATGAACTTCCCGAGTCCCTGCTCGGTCAGTGTGAAGTTTTCAGATCCCGGGGCCGAGGAGCTGTGCAACAGAATTCCTCGTTTCGTTATCTTGAGAGGCGGTGGAACGGGTTCACTATTCGGCGGTGAAACTGATTCGCAGCCAGTGGTGGATGTCACCACCGTGCAGTCGGGATCGCCACCCAACGTCCCAGCCTTGTTTTCCTTCGTCGGTTTGTCCGAGGTACTCTTCGCTAGCTGCTCCTCCGTGCTGCTTACTGCGGCTGCCCTTTTGATCCCTTGTTTTCTGGGAAGCACACGCTTGCAGGCAGTGTCGTTGGCCAAAGCAGTGGAGTTGCAGGCCACGCTCTGGTTGTTAAAGACCGCCAATGATTGTTCCGCAGGCGACTGTGGCTGCTCTATAGACGTTTGCTTTTTGGTCTTCTGGCGCTGCAATTGCTCCTTCTTGTAGGTGGTCTTCGACAGAGCCAATGCCCGCTGCAGATCCTCTTCCGAATCGGATGAACCATCAGAACTTTCGGTGTTCTTTGGTTTTGGAACTTTAACCGATGGATTTGGTTCAGGTTTGGTCTGTGAATCGGGTGATGCATTCGGTGCCTCCTCCGCGATTTTCGGCAAGTTTGGAATAGTAGCCGATTTAGTTTTCTTTTTTATCGAGGAACTTGTGGTCTTTTTTGCTCCCGGTGTAGAAGTATTTCTCTCAGCGGATGGTGTTCTTTTACTTTGCTTCGGCCTTCCTCTTTTATTTTGAGATGGAGATGTTAAGTCAATGACCAGTGGATTTGCAGGATTAATAATGGACTTGTTTTTTTCAAGGCTCTCAGATTTTCCCGTTTCCTCGTTAATTTGAGGTAAACTGCCGCTATTATCTGAAATATCTTTCTGCTTTGAAACCCTTTTTTCTGCGGAACATTTCGATTTGATTCCAGTGTCCTTTTCAGATAAAGATTTAGTTGCTAGAGTTTTGTTTTCGTCAGAAGCCGCAACAATCTCATTTTTCTGATTCTTAGCTTCATTTACCATTTCTCTTTTCTTGATTTTCTTTGTTATCTCAAAAGAATTTTTCGTAACGTTTTTGTCGTTGATTTGTGGCAAAACCAAAGGAGGCTTTGTAATGAGATCTTTTGAAGCGCTGCTTGCTGCAAATCCAATCGCTTTGGAGTGTGCTTTCGAGAAACTTACTAAGCGTTTCCTTCCCCTGATCGAGATCTCGCTTTCATCAGAAGATATGCTTTTATCGTGGTCTTCATTAATTTTGGGAATGGAGGAACCCTTACTTCGCTTATCTATCATTGGAGTGGCCTCTTCTTCCTTGATTTCAGGCAAAGCCTTGGGAGCTAAGGTAATTACCTTCTTGGAAGCTTTCTTCGCCGTTGAAGCAACCAGAGAAGTGGGGTTACCCGCGGAAACTGGGCTTTTTTGCTCCGAATAGCTAACTCCACGCCTTCGACGCGGCACCCTTTCATCATCGGAAATATCACTATCAAACATCTTCATGTAGTTGGCTTTAGATCTAACTAATTTAGACGCAGACACAGCCTTTCGTTTCGGTGATTTCGGGTCGCGGCACTTAGATAGAGATGACTGCGGTGTTGATTTTTTAACAGAAACGAGCTTATGCTTTCGACTTGTACTCGGCGTCTCCAGCACCAACGGACTGCTGCGGTTCTCCACCACCCACTCCTCGGTGGAGCTGTTGGCGATGTGCACCACATTGGAACAAAGGCGATCGCTGTTGCAGCAGCTGCACTCGTTCTCTGGCATCCTTGGCCGCAGATCCACCTCCGTGTCAAAAGTGTGATGACGACGTAAGGTGTGCATAGTCCTTGAAGCCGCCTGACGGTGGTGATACTCGTGTTGTGGCCTTCCATATGGACAGTACTGATAGGCACTCCTGGACAAAGCGTGATGTCTGCGACAACCGTGGCAGTCGCAAGCCCCAAAGGATGGATCATCATCACTGCTGGATAGCGAGTCAAACATATATGAGTTGGCGCGCCGTTTGCGAAGATGCTTGCGCCTTCCATGGTGGCTGCCAGAATGGATGCAGTGCATCGGCGTGGCAGCCAGATAGGCCAGCTTGTGCTCCTTCTCCCGCCGGCGGTGCAACACTGCTTGCATGTGATGACGGTGCTCCTGCTCGTCATCGTAGCCATACTTGGCCCTCAGCTCATCGCGTTTGTGGGAATGCTTGCGATACATCTTAATGGTGGTCAAGTTGGAGTTCTTGTTGGTCATGTGCGCGTTGCGCCGCCGACTCTGCTGGATATAGCGAGCAGTGTCGATAGAGTGCAGCGACTCGTCGCTCTCGTCAGAAATGGAGTGGTCCGGTTGGTAGTGGTGTTTCGGAGGAGGGGCCTCCAAATAGACGCTGTTATGACGTCGCATCCAACCGCCCACATGATGCTCAATCTGCTTCTCATCGAAGGTTGCCAGGATGCGATCAAGTCCCGCCTCGCGCCATTTGCGATTGTGCTCCTCAACAACGGGCATGGTTTGGTTCAGGATCTGCTCGATCTCGGCTTTGGCGCCTTTGTCCTTTCCCGCGCACAGGATCATTGTCAGTTCTGCAAGGCTGGTGGTGTTGGCATTAATATTACAGAGTTCCAACTTTTCCTCCTCCACGTTGTCCTCAACGGCTTCCTCCTCGTCGACTTTGAGATCGTTTTCGTCTTCGGCTTGGAAGAGTTCCTCCAATTGCGACACATCTATCTCTAGTCCGTCGTCCATGGTTGAAAAATTCTACAAAAGAAAAAAACACAGCCATCAGCAAAAGACGCCACCCGCAAAAACTGTGAACAAACCTTCATCGCACTTGACCAAGCTTTCGAGCGCTCGTAAACCATCGCCTCTAGCGTTTCCTCGTTCACCAGTGCCTGCGACATGTCTGCTTAATCATGAGCTCTTTAAAAGTTTGGTAAAATAAGAGGGAAACTAAAAAACGTCTAACAAATTCGAAAAAAGAACGCAAAATGGCTGTGATGTTGACAGTAGAGGTGGGATACTACATTCGATACTATCGGCGTCTTCAAGCAAATATAAAACATTGCAGCGTTACCGGATCTAATCACCTTCATAAAGTGCGTTAATGCGCGGGAAAATTCAAATACATATTATATTTTTGTGGGGTTTTTATTCTGAAGTTATATATGTTTTACATTAGATTAATATTGCAGATAAACAAACGAATACATATTGTATGCTTAAATAACTGTTCAATTGAAATACATGTACATCGCTTCCGCTCCTTCGTTGGCCACTTATGTCGGAATATGTTTTGCTCCAGCGTTTCAGTTTGTTTTGTCTCGGTCTCGTTAATAATGTTGTGTGTATATAGTAAAGTAGGTTGCTTGGAATCGGAATTGGCTACGGCTTCGCCAGCTACTTGCGGTTGCGTATGGCGCGGTCCATGATCGTGTTGATGCGCGTCTCCGAATAACCAGGAACGAGCATGTGGATCAGCTCCTTCATAAAGAGGTCGCTAACTCCGGGGCTTGAGCGCTCAGCAAGCTCGAAAACGGACTTCAGGTCGCCAATGTCGCTGCCCACGCCGAGGTTACGTCCACCGCCACTAGGTCCTCCGCCTCCAGATCCTCCGCCGGAGTACTTTCGCTGAATTTCGCTCAGCACGGGGAATATGAAGTTGTTCAGACAGGCGCTGTTCGTCTGGACTAGGCGTTGTCCCGCCCCAGTGTGCTTGGCATGGCTGGCATGGTTGGTCACCACGTGCTCCTCGTGGCTGTGGTTGTTGCTGCCGCTGGCGGCCAAGGCGGCGTTTGTTGCATGGAATGATTCACGTTGGCTGCTGCGACGCTGCTGCTGCTCGGCTGGCGATGGACTCGGAACCGAAGCCTGCAGTGGCAGGCCCAGAGAGGCACGACGATCCTCCACTTGATCCAGTGGAGCGGCGGAACGCGATTGGCGCAACTCCGGCTTGGAGCTCGACCGCTTCTGCTGCAGCTCGTTCGCCGACGAGGAGCTAGTCACGCTGCTCGGCAGAGGAGTTGCATTCAGCATTGTGGTGGTGGCGTGCTTGTTGCTCAAGTTGCTGATATTGTTGTTGTTGTTAATGTTGTTGTGGTTGTGGACGTGGCTGTTCTGTGGGGGCAGGGCGGATGCAGAGGAGACAGCCTCATTGGCTGTGATGACGGACACGGAGGAAGCTGAGGCCGCCACGGCGGACACAGAGGACGCTGATGCTGAGGCGTTAGGAGTGGCCTGACCACCGCCGCCGGATGGCGAGTGTGTGGTCTGCATCAGTTTCTGCATGGTCAGCTCGTGCTCCTGCAGCTGGAAACTGTTGACGCCCGCGCGTGGAGCACTGTTGATGTGCAGCCCCTTGACGGTCATGATCCACGGTTCGTCCTGGCTGCTGCCGCCCTGCTTGGCATCCGAATCCGAGTCCGAGTTCTCCGACTCCGTCTCACTTTCGTCGCCCTTGGAGAGCTTCCACTTCTTGAAGCGATCGATAAGGTCGATTAGGTAAGCGTTCTTCTTGGCCTTCTTGATGAACGGGTACTTGAGCAGCTCCTTGGCCGTCGGCCTGTTCTCCGGGTCCTTGTTTAGACAAGCCTCCACAAAGTCTTTGAACGACTTGGTATAGTTGCCGGTCAGTTGGGGCGGATTGTTCTTCGGGATGAGGAACAGCACGCGCATCGGATGCAGCTCGGAGTTGGGCGGCTCGCCCTTGGCCAACTCAATGGCCGTGATGCCCAGCGACCAGATGTCCGCCTTGGCGTCGTACTGAGACTGTTTGATCACCTCGGGCGCCATCCAGAAGGGCGTGCCCACGAAGGTGTTGCGCTTGGAGGTTGTGTTGGTCAGCTGGCCGGCGACTCCAAAGTCCGCCAGCTTGACGTCGCCCAGTTCGCTCAGCAGCACATTGGCCGCCTTGATGTCGCGATGCAGCTTTCGCTCCGAGTGCAGATAGTCCAGGCCCTTCAGCACTTCGCGCAGTATGATGCCGATGTGCATTTCCTCGAAGGAGCCGGCCTTCATGAGATCCAGCGCAGATCCACCGCCCAGATACTCCATGATAATCCACAGCTTGGTGCCTTTGAGGAAGCTGCCATAGTACTTGGTGACGTAAGGCGAGTCGCACTGCGACAGCACCATAATCTCCTGCTGGATGTCGTCAATTTCATCCTCGGCCTCCTCCAGGTCGATGATCTTGATGGCCACCACTTGCTGGGTGCGATTGTCGATGCCCTTGAACACCTCGCCGAAGGACCCCTTGCCGATACGCTCCTGCTTGGTGAAGATCAGCTCGGGGTCCACTTTCTCCGTCCAGGACATGTTGGCTAACTACCTGGCCTGGTTGCTCTCCTGCTCTTCCCACTTCGTGGCTCTTCGCTCTTGGCTCTCCTCCACCTCCTCCTCCTGCTGTTCGTCTTTCCCAGGTTCCCTGGCTGCTTAGCTGGCTCGCGACTGGCGTGGAGTGCACCCGACTGGACTGGACTCCTCTGTGGGCTGGTTTCGCTGGCTCTGCTTCGCTATGGGGGCACTTGACTAATAATTTTTTCGTTCGTATCTCATCTAATCCGTAAAATCTCTCTCTTTTTTTTTTGCTGCGAACAACTTTGCCGGTGTGACCAACTGCGGGAGCGCAGCGAATACGGAACGAAAAGTGGCGCCAGTTTCGGGCCGTTTTCCAACATTGCTGACATGGATTTCCCTTTTTGGCCTCGCCGCCGTATTTAAATATTATAGTGTTTGAGAGATTTCTTTGTGTTGCAGTTTTGTTAAGTTCCGATTTGTCTTGTCAAAAATTGGCCACCCAAACCAACATATACAACCAAATCTCACTTTGAAGTACCAGGCGAACAGAATGCCAAATAACGCCAACTAATGCATTCTGTTGACCTGTTAATTTAAATATATGCGTAATATGTACATAAGTAGGTGGCTACTAGTTTTTTTGTGAATTTTCCAATTGCTCACAAAAAATGCTCCAAATGTCAGTGAAAATATGTAAGACATGAGCAATAGCACATTTTGTATGATCCCCCAAAAGTATGATAACATTTTTATAGTTTTAGTTTATTTTACATAATTTAGTATAACTATTCCCTAGGCTGATTTTGCATTTCAAAAATTTTACCAATAGAAAAATGTACGTTATTCAGTAAAGTCTATTTATTTAATTCAAAAAGCTTATTCAGAATACAAATCAAATGACCCCAATTAATATTTCTAAGAATAAAAGAAATTTAAAATGAAGAATCGTTTGTTTTCCAGACCTTTCACGTTATTATTGAAGATTGAGAGTGTATAAAAACCAAAACATTAAACGCCAATATCTGATTTCTTTTAAAAATGTACTTTATTTATGAAATATATACGGGTTACATTTTTACAAATCAAAAAGCCTTTTTCTTTTGAATATTCGAAAACAATTTTTTTTTTTCAGCGAAAATTCTTTCAAAGCCTATGTTTGAATATAAAACTTTTCAAGAGTCCCCTTATACAGGAAGAGCTAGAAAATTGTTTTTTGTTTGGTATCGGTACCCATTTTACCTGGGTACCGATTATTCGATTCGTCAATGGTTGGTTGCATCTCAGAAATTCATAAGGAGCAGCCAACCAGCAAGGAATCAATTATTGTTTCGGTTAAAACTCAGTCCTGGTCAAGGTTTTCTATGATGGCAAAATAACTTTTCAGGCCTGGCTACCAATTTTGTGGCGAAAGTTCTTTCTCTTAACATGTAATTATACGTCTGAACACAAATTACAAAAAAAGAGGGAAAAACGGATATGCTAAGATATACTTTATAACCTAAGGGAAGGGTCTTTTTTCTTGTCTTATTACATAATCGAGCAGCGGGATCGAGTATCGGCATCCACAGCATTGTCCGCCTCCACAACCGGGGGAATATTTTCACCGTCGGCGGGTGTGTCATCGACATCCTGGCCATCAGCATCCTGACCCTCCACTCCCTTCTCCGCGGGAATTTCCTTAGCAGGGGAGCCGGCCTTTTTCGGCGTCTCTAGACCGGCCTCCTGGCCCACGGTCACATCCTTGCTGGGCTGCTCCTCCTCGACGACAATCTCTTCTGGCCCACTGTCCGAAGATGAATGCACTTGTTGCTCCTCCACGCCGGACACGTTTGGTTCCAGTTGAAGACGTGTGGGAGAACTTATTGTCGCCTTGGAGAATCTAGAGCGCAGAAGGCTGAAGGGCGAGGCCAGGTTCAAGCTGAACAGGTCGAAACGAGCACGCTTTGGCGGCGACATTTCCACATCTTGGCCCAAATCATTGGTCGACTGGGATGCCGAAAGTGGCGGGGGAGTGCGCTCGCGCTTCCGGCCACGGCCAAAGAACGAGAACGAAAATGAAGAGCTGTTGGGGATCTCCGATCCTACGGTGGCGTTCATGCTGGCGTTTGTGCAGTTCGAGGTGTCCAAATCGCTGTTGCCGCACCGGTAAGTGCCCACTTTCGAGGGCGTCAGCGACTCGATAGGTCGTATGCTACGCCTGCCGCTAATCTGGGCAAAAGTGCGAGCCGGAGTACCAGCCGGCGAACTGGAGGTCTGGGCAGCCAGCTCCACCTCGGTGCTCTGCTTGCTGCTGCTGCGGAAACCGAAGAGATTGCGGCCGGGCGTGGAAGTGGCCGCCGGCTGGGCATTAAGATTGCCAATAACGCTGCGGATGGGTGATGCATCCACCTGTAGTGGTTCCATATCCACATCTTCTTGTGGAGCTTCTGTTTGTTTCTTCTGTGCTGGCGAAGCAGAGCTTTGCTTGCTGGTGGGCGACTTCTGCTGGCTGCCCAAACTGCGTGTCGATTTGCGTTCCTTGGAAGGAGTTATTTGCTCTGGGATGACCTCGACGACATTTTCGGAGACCACAGCAGCCGGAGCTGGTTTGGCAGAAGGTATAGCAACATCGTCGACAGCTTCCCTTTTGGTTTGTTCCTGGGTTTCCTTACTGTCGGAGGCCGATACCTTGGTGGCTACCTCCTCCTTATCCTTCTTTTCAGTCACTACCTCGTTATCTTTGTTATCGACCTCCTTTTCTTTCTTTTCTGCTTCCACCTCCTTATCTTTCTTGTCGGCTGCAACCTCCTTATCCTTCTTCTCTAGATCCAACTCCTTTTCCTTCTTTTCAGGAACCTTGTCTTTAGATTTATGTTCCTTTTGATCCTTGGAGCTACCGTTTTGGGGTTTCTCCTTGCCATTGGTGGACTTGTTGACGCCATTCTGACTGGAATTGGTCGACGAGGAGGAGCTGGTCGAAGAAGATCGCTGTTGGCCTGGCTTTTTTGCCACTCCAAAGGAGTCTGTGATCTTCTTGTTGCTGCCATTCTGGGGACTATTCGAGCGGCCATTGCTGCCGGTTGACTGCAGACGGGAAACGGTGGTGCCACCGCTCAGCGAGAGCGGCAGACGACGTCCCGGGCCGCTGCCTGCAGACCCACCTCCTCCACCACTTGCGTTGCTGGCCATTTTGCTTAACATTGGTCGGGGTTCCTTCGACGTGTTGCACGATCTCTGCAAGGGACACAAACAAAGCGAATGATTTATTAATTGATTACATACGGCTTGCACTTCAAGTGCAGTGAAAATGAAAATGAAAACGAAAACTAAACACAGATTGACTTGCGGTTTGTTTACACCACATTCCTCTCGAGAACCGGCTCTGAATTCAATACCCCAAACCCACTTACCACAGTTTTGCTGTTCAACATGAGAATTTTTTAATCACAGTTTCTCCCTGAGTTTATTCACTTTTCTGGTGTGATAATTTTTAGCGACGCTTGGCGTTTTATCTTTCGGATTTTATAGCACGTCTTGACGGTTTCGAGTCCGAAGCTTAACTTGAGCTGATTTTGAGTCTGCACCGTCTTAAGTAGTTAACCAAAGGATCAGGATCAGTTCAGGTACTTAAAAAATAAATTGCAGAAGAAAATCTACCTGCTAAGGCAGCTGCCATTTATGATAGCCAGATGTGCACAGATTAGGATGTGTTAATTACCGGGAATGAACAATCACACGGCGACATATGCTAATTTATACCTCAAAATGTCTAAATTCAGGAAAATTGTCTGTTAAGTCTTTACGCTCTTTAGGGGTGGGTACTTTTGTTTTCCCTCTCACTTACTACATATTTTGGCTCCGCCTGAGTGATTTTGGTCCCCCTATATTTTTAACTGGCTTCCGTTCTATTAAATGCATTCAAAACAAAGTGAGACACAACTTAACAAATACAGCCCAACACGCAACACCGAAGCAAACAAACAATGTTTTTTCTTGTTTTTTGCTTGCCTTGCAAGTGAAATAATTCTAAAGGGTAAGAATGGCAGAACTAAAGAAATAGTACAAAAACAAAAACGATAAAAGAGGAAAATTTTCTTGTCATAGGCCGACATACACTGCACAGACAGCTCGATGCCAGATAAATGCGAAATCAAAAAGGAATACAAAACGACGTTCGAGATGCTCTAACTAGTGGTTAGTGCTCTTAATGACTATTTTCTTATTATAATTCCTTTTTTATATTATAGCATATTTTTTTTTTATTTTTATATTTAAAACAAAAAAGTGATAAATAGAATAATACCTTCAAAGTAGGAATAAGATTATTTTATAAAGTTCGCGATTCTTTGATTTCTAGTAAGCTTTCAAGACCTCTTTGGATACACCCTGTTAGAGGGTATCAAAACTAGTTGCACCCAGGTGCACTTTTCTAGCAGAAAAGAGGGAAAAGTAAGGGGACCACGTTTAGAAAGAAATTGCATTGAACAGCGCCCGTGGTATTGGGGTTTCTTTTTAGAAAGTGGAAATGCGAATGCTGAAAATCGCGGACAACGAACGATGCTGCGAAAAATGAAAAATAATGCCCACAATTGCAGCGACAGACTGCAAAAATGAGTGATTGTATGGGTTGGCATGTGCATACATATGTATATTTGTATGTATTTTTAGCCAAGCCCTCTTTGATGGGGGAATCATTTTTTTACTGCCCTTTTCGCCGTTTGTTTTGACATTCATTTCCCGAAGTTTATTAAACTGGGCAACATGAGAGTATAAATGCCTGTTTATATGCTCGAGTGGTTAATGGGGGTTCTGCTCGAAGACTAGTTAATCAATTTGAACGAGTTGCGATCGGATCAGCAGAAAGAAACATAAACATGCGAAGGAATAAAAAATCAAATCACACACATGTGCATTGACAGCATGTCTGTGTGGGTAGAAAAGGCGGCTTACAGTGCGCGCCAAAATATTGGACACGATAGGGAACAATGTAATCCTGCGAATATGTGTATAATTTATTAAGAAAATGAAATGAGCTACGTTAAAAATATGTTTATGCATTTTCGAAGGTTGACAATCACATTGTCCTATATGCTTTGCCACCACTGTACCAGGCAATTGTCGGAGGCTCAGTTACCGCGTTCGTTTTTTAAAATGGCGGCGCGACAGCCGCAATCGGCGATAATGCATTTGGGAAAGAAAAACTACTGCACTTGTAGACCAGCGGGCCATAGAAAACATTCGATGGGCTATACAATTACACTTTTTACACCCTTTCGACTTATATTCTAAGCATATTTCATAATTCAAAGATTATTTTCCTTTGTACGCGCAAAAATTTATGTACACCTAGCTGCACAATCCTACCGCAACAAAAAGGATATTCTCGTTGTCCTCTATGCATGTGGATTATGAGTTCCGCTTTCTTTAACAAATTGCATTTGTAATCGCACCAACCTTTTATCTAGTTTTGTAAACACAATTGAATTACTTTAACACAAGTACGACAAATTACAATAATTCAAGTCAACCGACGCCGATACAAACAAATTAAAACCAACGCTTCAGTGTGACCTTGGCCAGGACTTACAAACATACCACAAGTTATCGTTTGTATCGATAGTCGCCTGTGTTGCGGTCACCATCGATATAAGAAATATTTAAAATATGGGTATCATTTAAGTAAGAAAATAAACTTGTATTATTAAAATTATTGATTTGTAATAAATTAATATATGTTAGATGCTTAGATCAAAAAATATGCCTTTTGGTAACCGTTTTCTGTAAACACGATATGCCGCGTGGAGAACCGTGGGGGGTACATTCATATTCTATTGTTTTCCGGGCAAAACAGCGCTTCTCGGGTTCGTTGAGTAGTTGAATATTTATTTATTTGCCACCCTATTTAAATCTGATACTGCCTCAATGGGATTTAAACGCCAACCCAGCCTCCAGACTTTAATTTTATTGAACATTTGCGAAATGTTGGACTTGGCGAATCGAAAGAGTGCATTTTCCAACGAAAATGGTCTTTAAAAAAGTTTTCAAATTAAGAATTAATAAAGTTATTTTACATTAAAGAGCTTGCCCGATAAAGCCTGTTCGTCAGAATTGCCATTTTTTTAGTTTTTGTATTAAAAATTGTTTTATTTTAAAGTTAAACATTTTTGTTTTAGTTTTTCCAAAAAAAATACGAGTTTTATGAAATAACTGCATTTAATTTTTTTGATATCTTTGGTAGTTTAGTAGCGGTGTCGAATTTAAACTTAATTTTAATCTCGAAATTACAGTAGCTACAGTTTTTCGGAATTCGGAATTGAGTCCCAGTGGAGTTCGGCTATAATCACATAAAAGCTTAAGTTTTTAATGTAACGCTAATACTTTTGGTTGTGCTTTATATTTATGTGTTTATCAAACATTTATCAAAAATCTTTAAACAAAATTCTTTTACATTTTTGTTATAATTTTATTTATAAAATCGTATTTTTAAATAATTGCTTGGTATTTTAGATGAAAAGGCACTAAGACGTGAAATTACATACTAAAAGCAAAGCATACGGTCACACGGAACACGACGTCTAAATAAACTTTAAAGCAGCAAAATCAATGAAATAAGAGAAAAACTAACGTAAGTACCATCTGAATAATCGATTTTTGGCCACTTCGACCGAGATGTGACCCAGATTCCCCGTATCGAGCCTTACTTATGTGAATTTTCCACAAAACATGACGCATCTGCGGCGGCTCCATGACTACGCCTTTCCATTTGTGCCGGAACCTCACACACACTCGCACACAAACTTTGACGCCAACACAACCACACGCAGAGTGCGAATAAACGGAAAAACTTAAGGAAAACGAGAGGAGCAGCAAGTGGACAAGACGACATGGCCAATCTTCTGGAGAACCAACTGTTCACGGCGGCCAAGACCATCGAACAGCAGCTGGATCAGCAGCTCGACCGTCTGGACAATCTCGACTCCGATGACCTGAAGGCCCTCAGGGAACAGCGGCTCCGCGAGATGAAGGACCTGAACAACAAGAAGCAGGAGTGGCTTAGAAACGTAGGTTGACCTTTAAGAGATTTTCCAATAAGAAAAGTATAACTTATATCTGGGTCCATTAATTGTTCCATCTTCAATGATAAAGTTTTGTTTTTAAATTAATCTGCTTTTTAACTTAATCTTTATATGGTAAATAAACCAGACATTAATCTCATTTATTTTTTAGGGCCATGGCAGCTACACTGAGCTGGCCGACGAGAAGGAGTTCTTTGAGATGTCGAAGAAGTCGCCAAACATTGTGTGTCACTTTTATCGAGACAGCACCGAGCGCTGCAAGATCGTAGACATGCACCTTAAGATTCTGGCCGCCAAGCACGTGGAGGCAAAGTTCTGCAAAGTCAACGCCGAGAAGACCCCTTTCCTTACCCAGCGGCTGCGCATCAAGGTGATACCCACCATTGCACTGGTAAAGGACAGCAAGACCAAGGACTTTATCGTAGGATTCACCGATCTGGGCAACTGCGATGACTTCGCCACAGAGATGCTGGAATGGCGTATTGCCCACTCGGGGGCTATTGACTACAAGGGCGATTTAATGCAGCCACCAGATGTGAAACGCAAGCCATTCATAAACCGCCCACAGAAGACAATTCGCGGTGGTTACGACTCAGATGACTCTGATATCGATCTGGATGACTAACTACGAGCAGTCCGTCCCACACTCTCAATTCCCCCAGTTCCAGCTGCAAATCCACACTCCCACACTAAAACTCAAACGCGATGGAGAAACGAAAACAAACACACACAAATCAAAACCTAGCACATGGATCTAAACCAATTAGGCGTACTTTAGCGTTATTTATTTAATTATAATATTCCGATCACACTGCTACGGTCCCCATCGCCACATAGAATAAGTGGCTTATTCGATTGCCTTTCCCCCGATTATGTGCTTTAATATCTATCAGTTCAATCAGCCGCCTTTAAGGCTGAGCCACTCTAGCGAGCTTAAGCGTACTCAAAATTTGATCTTTATGGTATCTGCAATTCAAAATCAATGTGCACCTCTCAAGTATATATGTTTAGTTGAAAATTGTTTTACGAATTACGCTCGCTCCACAAAATGGTGTATGTAAAACAAGACAGAAAAAACAGCATAAAAGACAAGCAACAAAACATCTGGCATATATATTTTTAACAGTTCGATAAAAGGTGTACTGCATTTCCTACTGTAGAGGTAACTAACACATACATATGTACAAGTTTTTTATATTTATTTTTGTAATTCTACAAAGCATCAAAGGAAATCAACTATTAAATTGCATGTTTAAAACAAAGCAAACGTACTTAATTACAAGTGTCTCGGTGATTGGTTGTTAAAATTTATGGCTTTCGCAGAGGTTTGTATTAAAGATCGCTATCTGAACAAGTTTTTAGGGAGAAACAAATAATTTGGAGAGTAACAATTAACAAAAATAAATAATTATTTAATTGAAGGTTAATTTTTACAACTACATTTGATTTCTATTAATTCGATATAATTTAAAAAAGGTTTCCATGGAAACCGTTAAAAAACGAACGTCTTATTTGGTCAAAAATGACCGACTTTTCGTGTCTAAACAGCTTGCCGATATTTTTCAAGTCCGTTTTTACCAACCTTTTAATATATGTATTTTCCGAAATAACCGTCACAAACAAAAATCCTTTTAAAGAATTTTATATTATTGTCGTATAAAACAATTTCGATATTTAAATCTTCTTTTTATCCAAGTTTGAAAGAAATTTATATGTATTAGTAGGCTCAATAAAAATATTTATCAATTCTAAATCTATTGCCGGAGCTGCGACACTAAAATCTTTGAATGATTGAATTTGTTACTTTGTTTGAGTGTTGGCATTTTTAAAACAGCTGATCCTGAGATTTAAAATTTCCTCCCCTAAAACAGCTGTCTTTTAAGGGTTGGCATCTCTGATAAATGCGAATAACGGAATGGCCGCCAAAAAGATACAAAAAGGACGCCAACTGAAACAATTTACCTGAAATGACGCCGTAATCCCAGCAATTGCAGCTTGCTCGCCATAAAAATAAGGTTCAGTTTAACGCCAAAAATCGGGACATAAACTTTTACCTGCCAGGTGGATAAAACCCTCGCAGGGAATTGAAACCACAGCATTTGCATCGTGAAACTCGAAGAGCAAAGTGGTGATCAAAAATGGTTCTGGCTGCCGAAGTTAGAAATATTGTGAAGGCTTTGAAGGGGTCGAATAGCTGCGAGGAGATTGCCCAGATCCTGGAGTGCGACGTGGAGAGCGTGGTAAGCTGCATTCGGGAGTGTGAGCTGCTCGAGGGCAAGACAGCCAGATTGATACTGCCTCAGAGATCAAAGACAGCAACAGCAACAACAACAATAGAGGCCATCCTTCAGGATGAGAAGAAGAAGCGTGAAGTGGGCAGACCAAAGCTGCTGGAGAATCGGCATTTGGTTGAGCAAATGCTCACCAATAATCCTCACTTCACTTCCATTGATGTCCAGCGGGAACTCGCCCGCCAAGGCATCGAAGTCAGTCGCAGGACCTTGCAGCGCAGGATCAGCGAGATTCGCTCTAAGATCAGCCAGCAACCGAGTGCTTCTCAGTCGCCCAAGAAATCGCTAACCTTTGGTCTCAGCGAGGTAGTCAAACGGAGGCGGTTGGCCTGGGCCACCGCACATCAGGACTGGACAGTGCGCGACTGGCGCAACATCTTCAACATGGACGATCTGAAGTTCGTAGACGAATCATCACCGCCAAAGGAGATTTTCCTCGATTCTCTAATGGGTCCTGAGGGCACCGAGTGCAGTGACCTTAATCTACTGGAGTTACTGATGGATATCATCCAGCCAAGGATCCAAAATCAGGCACCTAAAAACGTCGCCGAGTTCCGTGCGGTCTTGTACGACGTTTGGCACAGCGATCAGGACATGGTGGACAAGATCGAGTTGCTCTACGAGTCCATGACGTGGCGAGTGTCGGCGGTCCTCCGAAGCGGAGGAGACAAGACCGAGTACTGTTAGCCTTCTTATGGATTTAAATCGAATTATGAGCTTTTATTGTTGTATTGAAAATGCCAACATTACCACTTTCGATTAGCTTTTAAGTATTTGGAGGGCCATTTTAAAGTACATGGTACGCTCTAATTGGTTTTTATGCCTAGAATTTATTTTCATTATATTTTTTCGAGCAATTGTAAAACCGTTTGGTTACAAACCTTTTTTCTTCTGACAGACTTTAAAATAAAGTTTACTAAATTGTAAAAACATCTGGCTTTTAATTACACCTAAAAAATTTCAATTTTAAAAATACTTTGTAAATTGTACATTTATTTTAATGAAAAACTGAACACATTTTAAAACATAAAAAAATCTTAAAAGTTGATTACAAATTCTGAGAAATTAGTTTTCCTCTTGAATTGTTTTCGATTTGCTAAAGCATGACCACAAATACTGTACAAGAGCAGCTAAAAAGTAAACGACTCCGATAACTATAAAATAAAACCCATACACAGTAAACTGTTGGAAAACATCCAGGTTCAGATTGGCCTTCTCAGAGACAACCGCAAATGTGAGGATGCATTGCAGAATGAGACCCACAAACGTGTTGAAACCAAAAACCAGGGCGAAACTGTCCTCCAGTAAACTACTGGCCAATTCAGAACTGAAAAGGATCAAATGTTTATTTCTATGTTTCCCATTGAAAAGTTAATTGATTTACTTACCTGATCACCGTTATGGTAAATCCAAATAATCCGCCATAAAGCACATATCCAAGGTAGGATAGGTATATATTTTCGGTCCAGCTGGAGAGGAGGACACAGCCCCCTTCAAGGATCGAAAGAAGAGCCATCGAAAGCAAGCTAGTCTTGGTGCTCAAACGTCCGGCATGAAAGTATCCAGCGAGGAGGGCAAAAACAGCGCTCAGAAGGGTCAAAGCAGCGTCCACAGCACCGTTCCAAACAATCTGTAAAAAACCCGAGGATTATATTATTTATCTGCAAGTATCATGCATACTACAAAGTGTACTTACCGTGGGCTCGTTTTCGAAGGATTTCCACACCACTTGCATGTAGGTAGTAATTTGCAGAAAACCTGCAAGGCTAATTGCATACCATAAGCTCCATTGACAGACCAAGGGATTGGTATAGGCACTACGGAAATGTGACCAAAGAAGCTGCCTTGCAGGAGTCCTCTCACTTGAATTATTTGTCGTCTTCGTATCCGTTTCATCTGGTTTGTTCAGATCTGTACCCTTTTCAATGCCTCTATCATCTGATTTGCAGTCACCTTCTATATGTTCTGTTCGGTTGTGAAAGTACAAACTTTTTTCCACCTTAGGAAGACCGAAGGCCCAAAGCAATGCTACGACTTGAGCTGTGGGAAAATGTAGTTAGTTATCTATAAGACAATATGTTCTATTAGATTACTGGGAACGCACAGCTCGCGGAAATGTAGAAGAGTTGCTTGTAGTTCATCCACTTCATTCCAATCAAAAGTTGCGCTAGAAGACCTGCCACCAGTTTTCCCACAAACATGGCTGCACGAGTATGTGAGGTCACCCTGGGATAGTACTGCTTGTCCACTTTCGCATAGATGTACGAGTAATAGGCGACCTCGGCTGCCTGGTAGAATCCATAGAAGACCTCCACCGCCTGCAGGCCACCCAAGGTGCTGGTCCAGATCAGAGTGCCCCATATACAGATTCCCGTAATAGCGTTTGCGATGATCACGGGTTTGTATCTACAATGCAGTTGCAAAGAGAGCGTTATGGTGGCCAATAAAGATTGCCCAAGAAAGCACATTACCTGAGCAGGTCCGTAATGAGGAAGACAAAGATCAAGAGAGCCATGTAGGAGTAGGTGCCCACCGGGTACACCAGTCGGTTGACCTCATCCTGGGTGACGTGATACCACTCACCCATCAGGATCTCCGCGTGATATGGCTCGGATGGCCGCAATTCGCGAATGAATCCGAATATGCAGAGCACCCACGATATCTTTTGCCAAGACTCCATCCCTTCACGACTGTCGGCTTGAATCTAATCGCGATGTGCTAACCACAGGGCTATAGGTCTGGCAGCTTGGAGCTTCGACCAGCTATTATAATAATTGCACATTCTTTCGAGGGGTTAGCAGGCTAGTCCCGAGTATAGAGATTTACCTTCGACGCTCGTAATCAGCGCTCGCGATTTACGATCCCCGAGTTCTCCCACATTTTTCCAGCCAGACGAACGGAGAGGCAGCGGAAAGTCCGGGAAGTTTCCGCTTACACAGAGCATGTTCACGATTTTTATTGAGTTGCTATTAACTGTTGCAGTTCCCACTTCAAGTTGGCCAAGCAAATTATCAACTAATTAGCCCATTAACGCGGCACTTAAGTGAATCTTGCAGGTAACATCTCGCTCGGTCTAAAACGCCCGGTTTGTTTATAAATAATTCTGTAATCTATTAATGTAAAAAACCAACACTGATAAGTTAATAATCAGCAAGAAACTGACTTTTCATAATTGGAAACTTTTCCGGGTATAACGTGAAATTATAAAGGACTAATTGAAATTAGTAACAGGTTATCACGGTGTTACAAAATTAAGGTTATCTTGCTTATAATATGATTAAAGGGCTTTTGCACACGTGTAAGATCTTGTTTTGATTAAATGTCGGTTATCGGGGATGTCTCCTGCTCCCACATAAATTAAAGGTAATTAAATTCGCTAATCGACAAGGTCTATTAGTGAAACACAATGTGATTCTACAAAAGCACCGTATCTTTATTCCGCCACACTTGAGACTGATTGTGCGCTCTATAAATGGAAATCTGCACTAAATACTTAGAACTCAGCAACAGTTTGCAGATTTGAAGATGACTTAACTATTCTGAGAATACAATCAACAATCACTGAAATACCACCAAGCAGTATTCGCCCCGTAGGAACAGTTTTTTTCTTAAGTAACAAATTTGAGCCTGTCAACTGGTGACAATAAGTACTTTATAAATGCACCTGTCATCAATCCAGAGAATTCTCCAGTTTCTCACTATCTTTGTCGCGGAACCAGAGGCATTCAACCAGCACGGATATCAGATACAGCAAGCCCACGGCAATGAAATAAAAAGCGTAAGCCGTGTATTGGCCCACTGAATCAAGTTCAAAGCCAGTTCCAGTGACAAAGATTATGGTTAAGAGCGATTGGAATACGAGGGCTAGCAAGGTGTTAATGCCAAACACCAAGCCAAAGCTGTCTTCCTGAAGATTTCGAGCCACTTCAGCACTAAGGATACAGGTAGTTAGAAATTTGTTGTATTGTTTCAAAACAAGCTGCTCACCTGGCCACCGTGATGGCGAATCCAAATAAAGCGCCGAACAGTACGAATCCTGCGTACGACCAGTAGATGTCGTTCGTCCAGCAGCAGATAAGCACACAACCACCCTCGGCAGCGGACAAAAATGCCAGGATCAGAAGAGATGCTCGCGGTCTGAGTCGTCCCGTGTGCAGATAGCCAGCAGCCAAGGCACACAGGGCAGCCAGAGCTGTCAGAACAGCGTCCACTGCTCCGTTCCAGGCCATTTTCGGCTCTGGTTCGATCTCTTTCCACAGAACCTGCATGTAGTAAGTGACCTGCAGGTAACCAGCCAAGCCTATGGAATACCACAGACTCCACTGTATGACCCGCGGATTGGTGTAGGCGTTGCGGAAATGCAGCCACAGAAGATCCAGCGCTCGAGGCTTCTTGGGGGTACTATCCTGTTCTCCCGGCGAAACGACAACCTGTAGGTCGTTTATATGAGACTGCTGATCCGTAATGGGCAACTGCACTTGATGGAAGTAAAGGCTTTTGTCGACTTTGGGAAGACCGAAAGCCCAAAGCATAGCAATTATTTGAGCTGTGAATAAAGAACACAATTATAATATAACGTTGATATTATGTATGAGTATTTATGCACATACTTGCCAGCGTAATATAGTTGAGTTCTTTGTAGTCCATCAGCTCGAAATAGATCATCAGCTGCGATGTGATCCCGGAAACCAGTTTGCCAGCAAACATGGCTGCTCGGGTGTGGGAGGTGACCTTGGGATAGTACTTCTTGTCCACTTTGGCATAAATATACGTATAGTAGGCAACCTCGGCGGCCATATACGTTCCATAAAAGAATTCCAATATCTGCAGCGACAGCAGACTAGTGGTCCAGATCAGCATGCTCCATATTATCACACCAGCTGCCCCAATAGTTATGATTAGGGGCTTATATCTACAAAAACAAATATTATAAATTTAGTTTTGCTTCAACTTTTACTTAACATAAATTACACGAACTGAAACCTCGAAAAATTATTGCTGACCTTAGCAACATGTTTGGCGAGCAAGGTCTAAAGTTGGACTTTGAACAAAATTGGAACATTTTGTCAACAATTACTATTAGTATTATTTGAAAAATGTTTTTTAGCATAGAATTTTTTTTAGATTTTTCTAATGAAAAAAGAAATTTATTTTCCGATGTTGTTTGAAATCTACTTACTCAGCGTTTAAAAATGAAATATATCATTACCTTAGAAAATCAGTTATGAGGAAAACAAAGACCAACTGCACCAGGTGAGAATATGTGCCAACTGGATATACATCTTGCGTTAGCTGGAACAAAAACAAACTATGATCGTTTTGAATAGTCAAATGGTAGTACTTTTTTCTCACCTGTTCATTTGTTATATTTCGCCATGGACCCAGCAGAAATTCCGTGACGTAGGGCTCTGATGGACGAATCTCTCGGATAAAACCGAAAACGCAAAGAAGGCAGGAAATCTTCAACCACTCCTTCATCTTTAAAATTGTGTAACGGCCTGACGTAACGCGTAACGTAACGCAACACAACGTTACGAAGCTCTTCGAAGAGCGCTAAAATATATGCCTTTAGTGGGATTTCTGCATCTGAACTGGCGGAGCGCAATATATTGTCTAGATTCACGGGTTATCTGGTGTATCAGGCCATGGTTTTGTTGCTTTCGTCTGCTCAATCTTATCTCTTCACAAAGCCAATCTAAATTTATCACTTCTAAGTGCCGGCGTTATATTTACACAGAAATCGTTGTTAGATAATTGCGAATTTATAATGCTTTCTGTTGCTCTGTCCTTTACCTTTTAAACGTCATATACCAACAATCAGAAACACACAGGTGGATTCAGTTGTCCAGTTCTCCAGACACCCTACACACGTGTTGAACGCTCAAAACCGATTGATCGCTGTTTTCAGCGAGGCTCTTATCGATTTGTTGCCAGCACAACTCTTTTGGGCATAATCAATATTTATTTTCCACCTTAAACGGCAGCGACAATTAAAATCAATTGACTTCCGAGCCATAAGTAAATTCTATATCATGTTATTGCGTCGCCGGTTGTTACGTCACGCCGACAACAACAAATGCGCCGCAGCATCTGCTGGCACAAAAACATTGAATTAGTTGGCAACGCGGCTCAGCTGTTCTGTTCTCACCTGGCCATCACATACCGCTGTGCTCAAAATAATAGTAACATATGTAAAAGAAAATATTTAAAAGTGCAACCACTTTGTTTACTGTAAAAAAACACACGTTTATTTAGCGCGCTCAGTTTAAAATTAGTAATGTGTTGAATGTGTTACAGAGTATTCGTTTTTTGTATGCATAACAAACAAACTTCGAGGCAAAACATTAGCTATTTACACAAACAGAGGGACACACGTAGAATTTAGTGGTACGGGATTGACTGACTACGAGCTAAAATTGGCCACACTTGCGGAAAGTTAGAAAGTACACGTAGAAAAATTCTTAACAGCAATGGGACACTGAGGTTGGGCATTTCCTTTTCCGCTCTCCTTGGATGATTGACCTTGGGACTGGGGGTTTCCTCACTGCTGGGCAATGGGCGCTGAGGTGGGCGTGGCCACGGGCGGATTGGAAGTGGCGGGATCCGCAGTCACGAAATCAATGGAGGCGGAGTTGATGCAGTAGCGCTTGCGGGTCGGTTTTGGACCATCCTCGAAGACGTGACCCATGTGGGCGTTGCAGCGAGCGCAGCGGACCTCGGTGCGTATACGTTCTGGATGTGCGATTAGTAGTAAAATATTGCCCCCTATTTAGTTTGTATTTTGCCATTTTGTGGGATTAATTGGATACGTTTTGGTTGTTTTTTTTTTGGTAGCGCATTTGTTTCACATTTTTTTTTTTGTTTCGTTTTTACAATATTTTTTTTTCGGATCGTTTTGCAAGGTTAATTCAAAGTTTTCGTTGTAAACAAATCAACAGAAATAGAAAATTTATTGCAAAATGGGTGACAAATAAAAAGCGAAGAAAGAAAATCAGAGAAAGAGCGAAGAAATAACGGCAAATAAATGGGAGTGCAAGGGAGATCGAAGAACGAGGCGAAGGAGGAAGTGCAGCAGAGAGCGATAAAAAAGAATAGACGGAATGAAATCACATAAAACAGGTGAAAATGCATGACGAATCAGAAATAAATATGATTTTCCGAGTGATTTGGTGTACACATTATTTTGGTTAATTAAGCATTTGATGTGTCGTGTTTTTGGTGTTACAATTTCAGCAATGAGTGGTGTTTTTTGTTAGCAAAACAAACCCCCAAAGAACGTTTACAGGCGTACATTTAGTTTATATTTGTTTTTGTTTTGTTTTTGAAGCGAGTTAAAAAAAGAGAAATAGAAAATATACGAAAAATACACATTATTCGGTTTGCTTGAGACACTCTATATAGTTTATGGATAAAATGTTGGTTACAGTATTGGAGTTATGTTATTGAAAGGAACGTTTAGCATGAATAAAAAGCATTGAAAATAAAAGTAAAAACAAAATCATAAATACAACCAAACTAGAACACCAGCAAATAAAATACTTATGCGGAAATATTTAAAAATAAAAGCACTACACATAAACACACATACACATAATGGCCCTGGCCCAAAAATAAAACCAACCGACCTTGAATAATGATCGAAATGGGAATATGAAATAAGCTCTTATGATTTCCATTTCACTTGAGTGGATTTAAATCAGAACGAAAGGTGTAAATGAAATTGTACCGAAAAACATAAGCCCACCAAATAAATAATTCGGGACAGATCCTTGTAAACTTGCGCACATATAATACCTTGTTAAACAGGTTAACTCCTACGAAGTATGTTAATATTTAAAGTACAATAAATCCTAGTATTACGATGGGAGTGTAAAAAATCAGGTATTTCGAGAAGTAGATCCAACAAAACTTCAGAACCAAAGCACTTGATAGAAGATTCCTTTTACAAAACTTAAATAAATATTCTAATTATTACATATTCCGATAGTATAGAGATTTGAAACCGAAACTGAGTATAATTAGAGGAAAATAAAAGAACAGGTAGATAAATGGGATCTTGGACTGATCTACGACACTAATCTCTCACTCCTCGTTCCATAATACATTTCCAAGCATCGTTCTTGTACAAGCTTAAGGATTTCCGAAAAACATTTTTGCATAATAAACTCCTATAAAATAGCTAAATATCTTTTTGTTTAGGCGTGAAGCTCTTTAGAGACTCGTTGAGAAGTATTTCAGGCCTATTTTGGGCTCCTCATGGTGTAATAATCCTCGTGTTTCGCAGGCAGATCGGTTATTATTTCTTAGAAGAGGCCGTTGGGGGATCCGCACTTTTCACAAAGTCGATGGACGCGGAGTTGATGCAGAAGCGGCGATGTTTGGGCGGCGGTCCGTCGTCGAAGACGTGGCCCATGTGGGCGGAGCATCGGGAGCATCGCACCTCGGTGCGCACCATGCCTAGCGTTTTCGAAATGACTACTGTTGGTTTAATCGGTTTAAGAGTGATACTCGGGGTTTTGGGTACAGAGTCGAAATGAAATCGTTTTTTGGTGTGTGATTTTTATATTTTTTTGAGAAAGAAATTTTGAGAAAGTCAGGCGGGATAGAAGAGGGGGATAAGAGAACACATTACTCGGTTAGGAATTAATTTTAGTCGCTTCTCCTCGCTCAGTTGCACATTCAGGTGCTGCAAACGGCAGCGGGAACACTCACAAGTCACAATCAATGCCACAAGACTAGACAGTAATAACAACAACGGCAAGGCCAACGACACAACTACAGTGAACTCTGGCCAATGGAACAGGTCAAGGTCAAGTTCATGTTTAAGATCAAGACAAACAAAGCCGAAACATAACAACAAACAAGGCAACACAAACAGCACACATCTGGGATGAGTTATTTTACAATTTCTTTAGATCTACTACGTTTATAAGCTTTGATTTAAGTTTTAATTATTTAAATTTTAAGAAGCAAATTTGTTGGACTAGGACCTAATGTGGATTAAAAGCATTGTTTTAAAGTAAAAATATTTAAAATATATTTTTATATATATATTTATGCCCATACTAATCAATCTTTTTGTTATAAGTACAAGCTTTTTTATGAACGTAGTAAACGTTTAACTTGGCAGAGACTACTTGTTAAATTTAATGACCACTCTTATTTACACATGATAACTATGCATATTGTCCTCTAGTCTAGACAGGGCTTTATTGTCTCCTAGGCTCAACGCAAATTTCATTCTAAAGTTTTGGCTTTCGGGTGCGGCAACGAAACAGCAACTCAAATAAAAACGGAACTCAAAACGGTTTGCAAATAACAGCTAATAGTGCCGAACAATGTCTAGGCCAACCAGTGGCTGGCTGGCCGGGAAGTGGGCCACGTGGGCACCTGGCTACGCACCTGGTATGCTGGCGTCGCGATGCAGGGTGACCTTGCCCTTGTCGAGAACGTCGTTGAAGGCCGGCCATCCGCATCCCGAGTCGTACTTGGTGTCCGAGCTGAACAGATCCTGGTGACACACGATGCACTGGTACACGCCCTTCTCGTAGTGCTTGTTGTAGCAACCTGCGGGAGTAGCAGAATTAATTATTCGTTATTAATTACAATTATAACACCTAATTAAAGAGGTCTCTCCCATTCATTTTAAATGGTTCGCGGAAAGCATAACAATTACATTGCTCCATAATTTGAGTTGTGATTAGGTGTTTATAGCTTTTTTAATAGTTATGTTAATTGTGTATGCATGTTTTTACAGATGTTATTGCAGAGCTTTTGCTTCCAACGAAACTTAAGTTTTAATTTTTTTAAGAGCACATGTTTGCTTGAAATTTATAAGCTTTACAAGATAATGGATAGACTAGCATTTAAATAACAATAGTTAAATGTTTTATGGGGCTAATTAAGCGATCCATAAGCGTTTGATACCCTAACTAGGTATAGACTTTAAAGTGGTTATAAGCTACCAAGCAAAAGGATTTTCCTGCAGTTAAGTTTCGAAGAAAGGCCCACCTGTGAAGGGGCGTTCGGTTCCCGCCTCCTGGGTAACCTGATACTGCATCGGGGTCAGGCGCTTGCGCAGCTCCTCCTTGTTCACCGTAACCTTCTCGCTCTTGTTATCCATTGCTGTTTTGCCGGAATATCTCTTCGCCGGGTTGTCGCTGTCTTGACGTGAATCTGAAATATAATACTTTGGTTTTTAGTTTGCGGTTGAGTTGTGTTTGCCTTTCTGTAATACCGCCCATCTTACCACCAGTTAGGTAATGGAATTTGAGTAATTGCTGTTGTCGCCGAGCTTCTGTAAGATTTCCCTTGGTAATCTGCAGCTTATCAGTGGGACTTTAAACTAAACCTAAGGCAATCATAATTTGCTGATTTAAATGCACACTACCGATAAGAAACTGCTGATTTGGAGAGTCAGCAATGAGTGGCAAGAAATTCTTCCTTAAAACATCTTGTCATGAAAACTGAGCGATTTGGGCCATAAAAGAGATGAAAATAACTTGGCTTTATCAATGTGATAAAGAGAAGCTTCTAGCTTTGCCAGAAGAGATTAAATTCAAGTTTTTGACTGAAAATTGTTTTACATTTGTTATTTAATTTTACATCTAACACAAAGACAGTTATAGCTGAAAACACAAATTAAAGAAATCTGGAAATAATATACATTTCCCCACAGAAAACTTAAAAATCCTAAAGAAATTTATGATCTTCCTTCTTCTATTCAAAGCCCCCTAAAACATTGTGCATCCCAAATTGGAGTTATGCAGCCCACGAATTTGTATACAAATATTGGGGCTAATTGGTGAAGGTGTAAACAGATTTGTTAAGTGCAGCCATCAAATGAAGTGAACAAGTGAAGAGAAACGCATAGGGTAAAAAATACTTTTACACTGGCCGCCGGCAATAAAAACGAAGTGGCGCCCAAAGTAAACACACGAAATGAAAACCGCGGAGGGGTAGTCACCTTTTATTTTGGGTTTTCCGAGTGCAACAATAGAAAACGCAGCCAAGTGTGTCGCGGGCAATTGAAGACAATGAATTAATTTCGAGCAGCGGCTGAAAATAGCGGGGAAAACTGCGTTCATAAAGAATGCAAACGAGGCGGCAATTTGAACTAGAAATTGTGTCTAAAATTAGTGGATGGCCAATCGATTCGAAGTGATGAAAGCGGAGGATTGTTTTCGGCCGAAAGCGGGACACACCCACAGGTATTCCAAACATTTTTTTTTAGTTTTTTTTTTACCTTGTCACTCACCTGAAAAGTAGCGGTTAATGGCGAATATTCGAGTGCGCCGCAGTGCGTGGCGAGAAAGTGAAAACATTTTAAGCTAATTTCAGGCGACAACTGCACTTGGCACTGCCTGGTTATTTAATCAGAAAATAGGAACAGAAGAAAAGCTACGGGAAAACGGCGGAAAGTCAATGTTTTGTCTAGTGCGCCCACGCGAACTAATATTTATGCAATGCGCGTTGCCACTTCCGTCTTTATTCGTATTTTTCCGTTCTATTTTCGTTTGACTCGTGTTTGTGTATGATTTGCGGGGAGAAAGCGCATTAGAGAGAAAGCAGCAATTGCACGCTCGTTAGGAAAATCTCGCTCACAATTCTTCACCAATGTCATTCGAGAAAAACACTGTCACAATATAAAGCGTCGTGTCCTTGGGCTTTCGCCCCTGGAAAACTTCTCACCTGCTGAATAGCGCCCGAAATGGTGCTGCTTAGCTTCTATTTTTGGCCTTTTGTTTATGAATCCACTAAGCTCACAACAAGCGCGCGTCGCAATGTTACGGCAGCGGTGGAAAATTAAAAACTAACACAAAAAAGCTACTTGATAAACAGCTGCCCATGAAAAATCAAACAGCTGGCTGTCGCGTTGCCAACTAACACTTTTCTGACTTCGCCATCCCTGTCATACGGCCACACTTGTAAAATCAGATGTTTGCCCGAACTGCCACCCATTTCAAAGCTGCTTTGTAACCACTACAGTCAGTCTGGCAACGCTAGGCACTTTTGTTATTTTTTGTGGCTCCATAAAATTGCTTATCAGCATAAAAAAAACCAAAACGCTATCGAAATATTTGAAGCAGCTTCAAGGAAGCACCAGATATTGGTAGCCGCCAAAAGCTGTCGTCTGAATCATGTGCTAAGGCCCGCAGAGAAGGACACAAGAACGACCACACGCAAAGAGGGCGTCAACAAAAAATCGTGGGGGAGGAAACCAGAACAAAAAAAAAAAAGGAAAAAAGTATTACTCAGTCAAAAACTCCACTGCCATGAGCAACCACAGATATCACCACCAGGGGGGCAACTATATGCATCCTCGCATGTCCTACCCCCATCACTTCACCTATGTTTCCTCCTGCGTGAAGTACATGATCTTCCTGCTGAACTTCCTCTTCTGGCTCTTTGGTGGCCTACTCCTGGCCGTCGGTATTTATGCATTCATGGACAAGCTGAAGGACTCAAACTACTGGATACGAGTGGACACCGTCTACGATGTGATTTTCAATATCTCCCTGGTGATGATCATCGCCGGGGTCGTCGTCTTCTTGGTCAGCTTGGCCGGCTGCTTGGGCGCCCTGCGCGAGAACACCTGGCTACTCAAGTTCTACTCTATGTGTCTGCTCATGTTCTTCATCCTCGAAATGTCGCTGGCCATCATCTGCTTTGTCTTCCCGCAGTACATGAACTCGTTCCTCGAGTACCAGTTCACAGACAAGATCATCCACTCGTACCGCGACGACTCAGATTTGCAGAACCTTATCGACTTTGCCCAGCAGGAGTTCAAGTGCTGCGGACTCAGCAACGCCGGCTACCAGGACTGGAGTAAGTTAAAATTCATACGATTTCGTTCATAAGAATACGATTTCACCTTTTAACAAGATATTACCATCACGGCAACGACTTTAGCTAATAATTCTTAGTTACTTATTATTTAATATTTACTAACTATAAATAATGTAACAGTGAGTGCAAAATTATATTTATTCTATCTTTTCCCAAACACAGGCAAGAACGAGTACTTTAATTGCTCCTCTCCTTCCGTGGAGAAGTGCGGAGTGCCCTACAGCTGCTGCATCAATGCCACCGACATCAGCTCCGGTCTGGTGAACATCATGTGTGGATACGGCGTGCAGGAGCACTCGGTGGCCGCCGCCAGCAAGCGCATCTGGACCAGCGGCTGCATTGAGATCGTGCGCGTCTGGGTGGAGAGGAACTTGTATGTGATTGCCGGCGTTGCCCTGGGCATCGCCCTGCTGCAGTTGTTCGTTATATATTTGGCCAAGACCTTGGAGGGACAGATCGACCTGCAGAAGTCGCGCTGGTCGTGAGTGCAATGCCACCATCCGTACATGTACGGATATCCGCCCTGCGAAGATGACCCGTACTACAATTCGCGGATGTGAGGCGGACTTTTCTGGTCCTGCCCCTGCTCAAATAGTTTCAAACCGAATCCCACTCCTAGAATAATCCATAGCTCCCTATATACCATCTCTTGTGTTTTCGAACGATTCAAGTTCTAATTCCCCAAAACAGTCTTGCAGTCGTATTTATACTCTTCTAGGCTTAAGATACGTATTTATACTCACATTTATTCGTAATAGAAGCTCTGTATGTTTTTAAACGAAGCGTAATTCTTAGTCACAAGCAAAGTCGAACAAATCTACGTTTTACTCGTATATGTATGCAATATTGTACAAATCTACGTTTTACTCGTGTATGTCTGAAATATTGTACCATTTAAAAGACACTTGTATATAAGCTAGCAAGTTCCATAAGAAATATGCATTTAAAATGAGATTTATATTTAACGACGAAACCAAAACTGCATGCACGTTTGTTAAACACAACAACATACTAGACTTATTAGCATTTTTAAGTATCTGCGCGCAAGTTGGTCTGCAAACCTTGTTGTAGTGCGTATTTAAATACAGACATTCTATACGTGTAACCCTGACTTTTATTTGGGGGCATATCTAGTTTATCTCGCAAACTCTAAATGCGTTGCGAACACGCCTAACTTATCGCTCTAATCGTTTGCCAAAACATGTTTTGTTTTTAACTAACGCATCACGAGTGCTAAATATTGACGTGCTATTTGCAAATATGTGCTGTGGAGGATGTCCGGATCTGTGTTTACTCTGGGTCATTCTACGGCTTGATAATTATTGACTAAAGTTACGAAATTCTATATAAAACGAAACCAAAATCTCAAACAATTCAAAGTGCGTGAACTTTGAGTCCGATAACCATAGTGGGCCATTGCAGATAAGCAAGGCAAACATGTTATGAAATCATAAAAATATGAGCGAGGGAAGTCAGACCCCCAAAGGAGATAGTATTACATATACACTGGTTGTTTATTATTCTACGCAATCGCATGCAATTGCTGGTATAAAAAGTGAAAAGTATAAAATTATCTCGAGCTTTAAATTTCAAGGCTATCGCATCTTTAGTACTTAATAATACTGCGAATGCTCTCGCCCTTGTGCATCAGATCGAATGCTTCGTTGATCTTTGACAGCGGCAGTTCGTGGGTGATGAACTCATCCACAAGCAGATCCTTCTTTAGGTAGTCCTCCACCAGTTTGGGCACATCCGACACGGAACGCCAGCCGCCAAAGGCGGAGCCCTTCCACACGCGACCCACGACCAGTTGGAAGGGTCGTGTGGAGATCTCCTGGCCAGCGCCGGCCACTCCGATCACCACCGAGGTGCCCCAGCCCTTGTGCGTGGCCTCCAAAGCGGAGCGCATGGTGTTCACATTGCCAATGCACTCGAAGGTGTAATCGAAACCACCATCGGTCAGGTCAATCAGGTAGTTCTGAATGGCTCCCTTGTCGGCCACCTCCTTGGGGTTGACAAAGTCGGTGAAACCAAACTTCTTTGCCAGCTCAAACTTGTCGGGGTTGATGTCAATGCCGTAGATCTTGCCAGCGCCAGCCTTTTTGCAGCCCAAACCCACCGCCAGTCCAACGGCTCCCAATCCCCAAACAGCACAGGTGCTTCCAGGTTCAACCTAGTTAAAGGTGTTAATTAACTTATGACAAAGAAGATCAATAAGCAGACCTACCTTGGCTGTGTTCAGGGCGGCTCCGTAGCCCGTGGAGATGCCGCAACCCAGCAGGCAGACCTTCTCCAGCGGCGCCTTCTCGTTGATCTTGGTCAGCGAAATGTCGGCCACCACAGTGTATTCGGAGAAGGTGGAGGTGCCCATGAAGTGGAATAGCTGCTGGCCCTTGCAGCTAAGACGGGACGTACCCTCGGGCATGACTCCAGCGCCCTGGGTGAGTCGGATCTTCTGGCAGAGATTCGTCTTGCCGCTCTTGCAGAACTTGCACTCGTTGCACTGCGGGATGTACAGAGCGATAACGTGGTCGCCGGCCTTGAAGTTGGTAACTCCCTCGCCAACGCTCTCCACGATACCCGCTCCCTCGTGACCCAGGACCACTGGGAACAGACCCTCCGGATCTGCACCGCTCAGGGTGAAGGCATCTGTGTGGCACACTCCCGTGGCAGTTATCTTGATGCGAACCTTTTTGGGGATAAAGTTTATTTCATGCGATAAGAAATTATCTGGAGTGGACTTCTAACCTCATGCGCTTTGGGTGGCGCGACCTCGATGTCCTCGATGACAAGTGGTTTCTTAGCCTCCCATGCAACAGCTGCCTTGCATTTGATTACCTGTGTGCGAAATTGATAGCCTGGGAGTGTTTCTGCTAATTAATATTCGCGTTGTTGCACTCACCTTGCCCTCGGTAGCAGACATCTCGTAGTTTAATGGAAAATTTTGCGACAAGATCCAATTGGCGAACGAAGAACGAATGACGATAAGGAGGAGGCGGGAAAAGCCGGGCGGTAAAAGAGTGACCAGGTAGCGATCGAGGAAACAACCCAAAAAGCTCGTCTGACTTAAGGATGAGTGATTTAAGTTTACACGTTAGCAAAATAACTGATACATTCGTGTATCACTACTTTCTTCAAATTATTGGTTTAATTAACAATATTTTTAACAACAATTATTAAAACATCTTGATATTTTTAAAAATAATTAGAACACAAAAAAAACAACCAACCCAAGTTGTATTAAAAGATTATGTAAAGATAAATTAATTTTCAATTAATTGAGTTATGTATATAGATAAAGCCTAGTTCAGTGGGCTACCTATGGAATCAAATTAAGCTTTTCTGGTCACTCCTGATTTATAAGTGCAGCCAACTTCGCTCTGTTCAAGTCAGCTGTTTCAGGTGAAAATAAACTGTTACTCTTGAATCCTTTAAAAGTCGTAAAATCACAAAAGATTTATACAACAATCAAACTAATCAAACTATGTAATTTATTAGCAAAAAGTTTATTTTTAAAATCGACAGCGATTGTGCTTTTTGCGACAGTTGTAGCTGGGGCTTAGACACAGAAATGCACTTATAAATATAACTTTCCCGCGCAAGCGCCAAGTTTTTTGTAAACATTACCGCCCAACCCAAAATGCAACAACAGCAGCCCCCAAAAAACGCCAATGAACGCAAAATCAGCACAAGGACGTGCCAGCCAGCCAGGAAAAATCAATAACAACACAGCCGCGTAGCGACAAAGGCCGGAAGTGCATTTTTTGCATTACTGGGCGTTAAGTAACGGCGTAAAGAGGAAAAAATCTCAACTCGAGGACAGTGATGTAGATATTTTGCCAAGACATTGTTGAAAAAACCCGGAAAATGGTGGGCAAGGGTTCGAGCGGCTTAGGTGGAGACACAAGTACAGGAAGCAAGGAACGCCCTGTTTTTATTCCGCCGCGGAAACGTCAACAAACCAAGTCGGAGGCAAAAAAGCAAAACTATGTGGACCATATTGTCAGTGTGCAGGTGAGAAATTAATATTATTAGACCTTAAATTAATCAACATTATAATGCAATCAAAATGTTCAATAATATAAATCAATTCGAATATGTGGGTTTCAACATACAGAAAAATCATAAACTCTTCTTTTCTCCTGTTTAATCGATTTAAAAATTGTTGATTCATGAAGGAACTTTATGGTTGAAAGATAAAATATGTATTTTGTTAAACCCTTTCTTATCGTTTCTTTTACTCCAGCAAAATCGACCCAAGCTGTCGCCCTCGAATCCGGGTCTCGAGGAGGAGCTCCGCAAGACCAAGTTGATCATCAAGAACAAGCAGCCACTGCCACAGCTTCCCGGCGAACTGGGAGTTCCCAGTGCCCATGACACTCTGGCAAGTACCCACTCGGCCAGTTCCACGCAACACAGTCAGAAGTCGGCCAGATCGAACAGTAATCTCAACGAGCTCCAAAACTTCGAGTCCATATCACAGGGCACCAAATCCACATCGCAGCGGCACGAGAGCAGCACGGTGACGCCCAGCAGCTGCTGCTATTCGGAGAGCAGCCTGGATGCCAAGTTGAGCAAGTCGCAGGATTGCCTAAGCAACCGTTCGTCCTCGAAGAAGCGGGTTAACATTCGAACAGCCGATTTGCCCAGTCAGGGTCGCAATCAGCGTCCCTCGCCGGAAATAGCAAACTATGAGGATCTGGAGTCGGGGGAGACGAGTGTCCTGAACAACTACGACCAAAGTCTGGAGCGCGGCTACCAGGCGCGCAAGGAGGGCGGCAACTACCTGACCATGACGGGCACCATCAAACGCGGACGCAAGAAGGGCCAGTCGGTGGACCTCCAGATCAACATTAGTCGCGAGGAACTGGAGCAGCTGAATGCCCATGCCATGGCCACTGATGCCAAGAAGGGCCGCAATCTGTGCTGCACCTGCAGCTGTGGCACCGGACTCCACATCCTGCTTATCTCGTTGTTTTGCCTGCCGTTCGTGACTGTCATCTCGGCGGTATACTCCTTCTACATCGGCACCCTGACCTGGTACAATATGTTCAACTATTATTGCGAGGAGAGGACGTACCTGCACAAGATCCTGGTGACTCCGCTGCTGTTTGTCGCTTATCCTTTGGCCATTGTGCTGTGCACCTTTGGGCTAGGTATCTACTCGGGATTGCGGCAACTGAGTCTGCAGTACAGCAGCTGGGTGAACGACATCACGGACATTGAGAAGGGGTTCTACGGCTGGTTGTGCGGCTTCCTGCGGATGCCCGACTGCAGTCCCTACGAGGTGGTCATCCTCACCGATATTTGTGTGGCGCCGCAGGATCCACAGCGGCTGCACATCAACAAACCGCGCCAGGAACTGTCCATGTAGGATGTCTGGCCTCCGTTTCGTTTCGACCATAAGTGTGATATAAAAAAAACGTAATTACATTCGCAGAGAAGTCAGGAATAAGATCGACACATTAAGTTTCCTTTGGCCAAATTTGTTCCTTTCACATTGACATAATCGTATGTCTGCAATCGCAGCTTTAGAGAACCGAATTACACTATATATTAAAGCGGTTAGATATCGCAGCCACAACATAATCCAAACCATAGAAAGCATAGTGTCTAAGTTACTAGAAATCTAACACTCGCACAGCGTCTAAATACACAAGGAAAACTTTATGGGAGTTCGGAAACCGGAAACCGAAATAACCTTGCAAATGTCAGCAAAAATAATTGATCAACAAGTAATTGTCACAAATACTTGCTCGAGTTTTACAGATTTAAGATTATTTTTTTCCTAACTTTCATGATGAATTGAACCATTTAAATTGGTTAATAACAAAATTATAGTTTTTGTCTAACAATTAAAATGGGTAACCATTTTTAACCCAATTAAAAGCACAGTATTTGCAAGGTTATAAAATAAACAGTTAACTGTTGTAATTGGGCACTAGCCTGCAACTTGAAACTTTGCTTTCCTTTCTAACTCAAAGCCAAATTTATATCAATATATGAAAAATAATAATGAACTGGAATAGCATTTACAGATTTATGCATTTATCTTTAAAGTGAACTAAAACCAAATAATGCAGCCAACTTAAATGCGCAGTTGACGTGATGGAAAGTTTTTCTTAGTTTTAAGCAAACATTTTTTATTTCTACGTCAATAAAAATCGCAGCAAAGCCACACAAATATATACATACGTATATAAGCAAACGTTTTTAAAATAGAAATTCTATATGTTAAGAACCCGAATATCAAACACTTATTGAAATGAATATATTAGCCAGAGAAATAAAGCCAATAAAACTATATAGCAAACACAAAAAAAAAACTGATAAGCTTTATTGCGTTGTTGAATGCTTCCTTTTATTTTATTATTTGCATAAATGTTTGCACATTTTTCTATTTTAATTAACTTTAAGCTACGGCAAACTTATAAACCAAACGACTTAATAGATTTGAGCAGGCGTGTGGGTACACTCGTAAAAATGTGATCAGAAATTCTAACGAAAAACAAAGCAATAAACTCAACGAAAATTTTATTTATTTTAACTTTTTAATTTAATTTATTTAAATTTATCGTAGCCTCTTAGTTTTACTTTTCTATTCTTTGTTTTGCGTAGAAAAAAATAAAGACTTCAATAAAAATTCTGAGTGTATGTACATATGTAATCCGATCAACTCAGAGAGGGAGAGACATTATGGAGAGGAAGCTTTTCGTTCACTTTTGTTTTCGCCGGCGATATGCCTACAAGGAATATGTAAACAAGCAGACAGTGGTAAATACAAAACAGCTGTTTTTTGTTGAGTAAGTAAGTGAACAACAACAAATTACAGGCGAATAGCATATAAAACGAACGAAAAGGGGCTCGTCTTGCTTGGTAATTGGTATTATTAACTACTCCCTAATAAATAATAATTAAATCATTCTGGGAAATAAGAAAAGTGAGATATACAACGAACCTATAACATTACTTAACTTTCACAGATCATAGACTACATAACCGATTTTAACTGTATTCCGACCGCGAAAGCAAACACACCCATAAATGCGCAAACAAGCTAATTTAAATATATACCTTACATACATACTTATAAGCATAGTGGAACACTAGAGGAGACAATTTGCCAGCGCTACATATCAAACGAATCCGATACTGAATTCAGTTCCAAATCGGCTTTTAAAGCGAGTAGACGTGCGTGGAAAATATAAAAAAATAGCGTCAATAATGACAACAGATAACTTGACAGCCGTTCTCCACGGAATCGAGGACCTGCGGTTGGTAAGTTTAAACCGGAAGAAAATTAGGAAACAGTTTTCTAATTACTAATTGACTTCCTGCAGGAACAACGGCCAATCCCAGAAATCGCAGACGATGGTAAGCAATATACAGCGATTTATACACTGAACAAAAAAAACGTAAATGACAAAAAAAATATCATTTTTTACCTACATGGAAAATTTAAACTCAAATTTTTAAATAAACGGTTAGAGGTGCGCTATTTTTGAATCGGACTAAAATTTGTAATTTTATGGGCACTGGAAGTTCTGGTTTTGGTCTCACATGGCGAATTGTCGAAAAATGTAATAAATTTGAAATGAACATGGGCCATGATTTATGAAAGATGTTTTTTATTAACCTGATAAACTAATGATATTCAAACAAAGGTCAAAACAAACCTAACTGATTTATGAAAGAGCTATTTTATTTAACTGATAAACTAATGATAATCGAACATTTATAGGCCCTAAGTGGGATTGTTGATGAGTGAAACTGTTTATTTTTTCGTGTTTAATTAATTTCACTAACAGTGCACATGAACAAGATATCACAAATATTGTTAGGTTGAGTAAAAGTAAAATATGTTTGTTGATTTCGAATTTATTCAAAAAGTACTAGTTTTTGAAACTTTATCATTTCATTTTAATAATTCTAAAATCATGAACTTAATAACTTTTTTAAAAATTAATAAACAGACTGTTCTAATGCCAATACAATTTTTTAGAGGTCCTGCTGGCGATGGACAGTGTGGGCATTTGCGGCTCGGACGTCCATTATCTGGCTCACGGACGCATCGGTGACTTTGTGCTGACCAAGCCGATGATCATTGGCCACGAAGCCGCTGGAGTGGTGGCCAAACTGGGCAAGAAGGTGACCAACTTGAAGGTGGGCGACCGGGTGGCCATTGAGCCGGGTGTTCCCTGCCGTTACTGCGACCACTGCAAACAGGGCACGTACAACCTCTGTGCCGGCATGGTCTTCTGTGCCACGCCCCCTTATGATGGAAACCTGACGAGGTACTACAAACACGCCGCCGACTTCTGCTTCAAGCTGCCCGATCACGTCAGCATGGAGGAGGGAGCCCTCCTGGAACCCCCTGTCCGTGGGAGTCCACGCCTGCAGACGAGCTGGAGTCGGTCTGGGCTCCAAGGTGCTCATCCTGGGCGCTGGTCCCATTGGTTTGGTCACCCTGCTGGTAAGATTAATAAATATTATGTTTTTAATACATGAAATCTAATTGAATCCACATTACTTTTCATCTAGGCTGCCCAAGCCATGGGTGCTTCGGAGATCCTCATCACCGATTTGGTGCAGCAACGTCTGGATGTGGCTAAGGAACTGGGTGCCACCCACACGCTGCTCCTGCAGCGGGATCAGTCCGCCGAGGAGACCGTCAAGGTGGTCCACCAAACCATGAGCGATGCTCCGGACAAGGCCATCGATTGCTGTGGAGCCGAGAGCAGTGCCCGCCTGGCCATCTTTGTAAGTGGTTCATTTTCCCAGAAACTCACATAAGATGGAACCAACTTTATTCTTTTCAGGCCACCCGATCCGGTGGTGTCGTGGTGGTGGTGGGCATGGGAGCTCCGGAGGTCAAACTGCCTTTGATTAACGCCCTCGCCCGCGAAATCGACATCCGTGGCGTCTTCCGATATTGCAATGAGTAAGTTATCAGCCGGATTAAGAGGTCAACATGTTGCTGATTACTTCCAATCTTCAGCTACTCGGCCGCTTTGGCTTTGGTGGCTTCGGGCAAGGTGAATGTGAAGCGACTTGTGACGCACCACTTCGACATTTCGGAAACGGCCCAGGCGTTCGAGACCTCCCGCCGCGGACTCGGAGGCGCTATCAAGGTCATGATCCACGTTCAGCCGAGGGACGCCAACAACCCAATCAAATTCTAAATATACAGCCTTATCTTAAAATTGAACATGCGTTTAAATTGTGGCATTTGAGTGACTTTTTGGAAATATTTCCTTATATTCTTAAAAACTAGCAAAAATATTTTCTTTTTTAAAACAAATACTGGACGAATTCCAAGGCTTCCTCTGGTGCCCTGAGCTCCCCCTCGGCATCAAAGTCTTTCAATTCCGGCTGTCTGTTTTGGGCAATATATCGCAGATAGCCACGTGTGCTGTCCAGTCGAGTTTGCATCTTGATATCCCAGCCATCCCTACGTGGCGTAGAGAACATGATGGATCCGTGGCAGTTGACAATCTGCAGCCAGAGAGTGAATCGCACTCCGAGGTAGTTATTCGCCTTATCAATAATCACAATTGGAAGATCTTCGCTGGATAAAAGATGGACTAGTTTGCGCAGCATTCGCTGCTGGATGGGCCAGTAATAGCAGGCAGGATCGTAGAGCATCACCAGCATGTCTCCACTGGTTTGTTCCCAGAGTTCATAGTAGTTTTGCGGCTTGGAGTCCTGTGCAGGAGTGGGTCCAAGAACCACAGCCCTGAAGAGTTGTTCCTGCAGGAGCTGATCACAAAATTCCCTGAGATATTTGGCGCTAACCAACTTGTGCATTTCGTAGACTCGACCCTCGCGGTCCTTGCCATAGATCCTCGGAGGTAATCCCTTCCTGTAGCTGCCAAAGTCATACGGATCTAGATTCGCATTAAACTCCGATATAGTGGAAATATCCCGCAGTCCAAACAGAATACGACCGGAGTACTCCAGTGCTAACTGGTCGAGCAGTTTTATCCACTTGGACAGATTGTCAGCGTATCTGTTAGCCAAGAAATGAAACGCCACCACTTTTGGGCCATCGAAAGAGAACCTTTCTGGCGGAGATTCTCCCAACATTTCCGTTTGCGGAGGTCGCCACAAAAGCCACGGAATGGAGTTGTTGTCAAAGGAAATGGTTTTCACCAGAGACATTTCTTGATGAGTTGATAACGTCTTTCACTAACTTGTTGTTCCGAAAGATACAACTCTTTTTATACACTCATAGCCGGTAAATTTCACAATGCAAAAAGCTTGGAGAAGAGAGCTTTTCTTAACATTGTTTACGTTTATAAATTTAACATATTTACGCCTAACAGATATAAGTAAGTAATAATAGTAGCGCGGTAGGTTCAAAATAGTTATAATTCATTAATTGTAACTAACGTTTAAACGTTAGGAAAAATGAAATTTCAAATGTTGTTTGTAATTTTATCTTATACGATTAATTTATTTTTTTCAAAAAACTTATAAAACTATGTGATGTAGTCAAGTTTTATTTAAGTCCCTGAATATTTAGTTGTGTAAAAACATTTAAACATAAACGGGGCTTCCAGCCTCGCCGTTTTCGCTTTCAAATTTAACAAAAGATAATTTAAGGTTTGAGTGTGTGGCTAAAAAGCGAGGTGCTTTTGCTCGAATAATGGACTACTAACTAATATATTATATATATATGTAACTTAACTGGTGCGCTAATTGTATTTGTGTTCTAAAGCGCCGCCAAGTCGATTGGTCTAAATGATAAACAGAACCCCGTATGCGAAACCGAAAACTAATCAACAGTTAGCCTATGCCTTAAAATTATTTACGCACTGCGGTAAATATATATAAAAATAGAAAATACGCTGTAGATTCTGTAGGGGCAGCCGTAGCTCAATGGATTTGAGCCGCAATTAACCCCGACTCCAAGCCCGACCTAGAAGCGCACCTGCTTGAGCTTATCGTAAATGCTAAAGTACAGGGCCGTGGTCATGCTTGACTTGAGGAGTGTGGGGGCCACCCCCTTGTACAAGCCCCTAACGCCCTCCTGACGCACGGTCAATCGCATGCAATCCCAGACTCCGTGGCACTGGAGCGTCTGTCCGAAGGTCTGGCGGTTCGACTCGAAGCCCTGGATTTGCAGTCGCTTCTTGATCAGATCGAAGGGGTACACGATCGTCTTGGAGAGCATGCCCGAGGAGGCGCCCAAACCCAGCAGCGTCCACGTGGGCAGTTGGCTGCGATCGCTCACCTCTAGGAAAGCACATGCCCAATCGCTGAACAGGCGATAAGCCATGAAGTTGGTGCCCATCAGCGGCGTGATTTGCAGCAGAGCGGAGGACAAACCGCGGTACATGCCTCGTGGACCCTCCTGTCGAACGATCGCCGACACAGCCCTCGTGGCGTTCCTGTATCCCTTGCTCGTGTCCTGGGCAATCAGTCGAGTACGGATGACGTCCAGCGGCGTGGATATGATCACTGCTGCTCCGCCCGCCGCGGCGCCACACAAAAAGTTCGATAGATGCTGGTGATCCGCGAGGTAATGGGTTTGCTTGGCCATCAGGCTTAGCTGTTCGTAGGTCCAGAACTGGCAGATGCCGTACATGATGCTCAGCACCTGGGCGGGATTGTGGCCCTTCCAGAAGGCCAGCAGTCCCTCCTCCCGATAGATTGTCTTAACCGCCTGTCCAATGGATGTGTACTTGGAGGTAAGGGCACCCGCGCCCTCCTTGATCCGACTCTTGCCCAACGGCTCCACCTGCAGTTGGAAGCGGATCTTGAGCACGTCCAGCGGTTGGCAGGTGGATCGAGTGATGGCCGCCGACAGGCCGCCGGCCAACATTTGGTGGAGTTGCTCCCGTGTACTGTGCTTGCGTCGCGGAACGGGAGCTGGGGTTGCGGTTGCCTCGCTGCTCGAGCCTGTGGTTACCGCCATGTCTGCGTCGGAACTGCTTTGGTTTCGCTTTTCGTGTGCGTATGTTTGCTCGTGCGGATTTCACTTTTATTGCTGTGACTGCCAACTTTTCAATGGCATTTCTGAAAAGTAAAGAGAGACAGACAGGCGGAGACAACGTTATTACAGTCGAAATTCAATAGCTGCAACCGCTAACTTGGACTTTCAATCTTTTGGGAATGTTTTTTAAGATGTACCTATTGATATAGTCGGACAAATCAATTAATTATTTATGAGATGCATGCTATTTGTTAAACAGTTAAAACAAAGGTGGGAAAAATCGAAGTTTCAATCCAAAACTTTTTAAAGGCAATTATTTTCAAATCAGTTATTTAGGACATGGTTAAAAATTTTCAATACAACCAACTTTTTATGTAAAACTTAACAGTTATTATTAAATGTTTCTTAAGGCAAATTTTGAGTTGAAGTTTTAAAGAAACCCTTTTAGGGAAGCCAGTCTGTAGCTTTCATTCAAAGCGTTTTAGAGGTGCGGCCGGGCGCAAACTCCGAATTGTTTACACATTCATCAACTTGATGGCCAAATTGATGTGTAAAAATGCGTAGACAGACAGGAATTAGGAAATAGTAGGAGTGCATTTGAAGATGGGTACTTACAAGTGTCATGCTCAACGGAGCGTGGGGATGTCTTTGCGATTTCTTCTCAATTATCTCTGTTATGCCCAAGTGCCCGCAAAAAGAGACTCCCAATATAGATTCCAGGTTCAGACGGCCATTCATTGATTGACAAAGTCTTGGGGGTATTCGGGTTTATCAGCGATTTCACTTTTTTCCCGCTTTTGTTGTTCGATACTTCGTTGTTCGGTGACCGTTGTGTTGTCCAGTTCCGAAAATTCCGATGCTGTTGTCCAGATAAAGAGACAATGGAATGGGGAGAACACGCTTGAGCTCGGGGTGAAGATTGCCTGGGCATATGTATGTTGTAGGTACTCACCTGGAGAAAATGCGTCCGTTCGCGGGAAGAGTGCAGCAGTTACTGCGGCGTCGTTGCTTCTTCATTACAGGCGGCAGCGGCCTGTGGATTGCGTCAAAACTTTCTTTTCGCCAGGTCTGTAATAACCGCTGCCGAGATGCCGTTGCAGTTGTGTGGCGTTCCGCTGCCCAAGTTGGTCACTTCCACAAACTGGTTTTTCCAAGCTGGCGCCGCTCTGCTCCAATCGACAACAACAAACAAGTTACGTCGCGAAGTGCACGTTGTCAGCTGTTCGTGCCGCTGGAGGTGAGCTTTTCAATCAGTGATGCCAACTTTCGGCTATCTGAAGATAACGATAATAGCTATAGAAGCTAGACTTTATTTTTATAAGTCACTGATTTTTCAGTGTGAGAGATGCAGAAATGCAGATAGCCAAATCAAACTATAAAAAGGTTTTTAAATACAAGTATTTTAATAATTATAAATTTACCCTTGTTACCAAATTAATTATGCTTAGTCACAACAGGTTGTAAGATTTTAAATAGATTTACTTATTTAAAATTTAATTGGCTTTAAAAAGCTACGTTTTAAAGCAGCTAAATATCGATATACCAGCTGGTGTCACGAGCACAGCTTTACTATGTGGGCGCGCTTTTCCCTTTATTTAAAAATGGCTTATAATGTAGAATACAAAATGGCTAACCAGTTGTTCCTATTTCCAGCCAATGCCACCACTGGGAGCATCAACTGGAGCACTGGGGGTGGGCTTATAGTCAGGTGGTATGCTGAATCCAAGCACCTCAAAATTACCGCCTGCAGCTGGTACAGCAGGCGTATTAGTGGGATATGGTGGAGATTTTTGTGCAGCTGAAGAGACAGGATTCGGTGTGTACTTAACGGGAGCAGCAGGAGCATGAGCATCTTCTGCCTTGGGATAAAGACTGGGAGTATTAGCTGCTCCATTGGCCCCATTTGTTCCTGGCTTTCCATCAAAGGGATACACTGGATACCGTGGCTTAAAGCTATTGGACTCGAATTGCTCGTCACTAACGTCCTCCTGGAAATTGGGAACACCTAAACAGGTATCGGAAACTGGTTAGTATTCCCTCTAGATAATTCTTATTTCTTGTGAAAACATACCTGGATGAGAGTTTGCAATGGGTTTGGAGTTCTCCTCCTGCCCAGGTCCCTTATCATCAGCACATCCTATCAGCGGCACTGTGCCAATGGTCAGTGGAAAGTCCATTACCAGATCTCCACCTCCGTGAAGCTTGAAGGTTTTGGCAATGAAGCGAAGTGTGTAACTGACTCGAATGGGATCCGTTTCGCTTTGGGTGGACGGGGTGGTGGGCGGCACCACAAGAAACTCGTCGAACTTCGCCTTGTTGTGCTTCAGCACCTCACCGCAATGTTTATCAGCCACCCGGGTTTCGGTGACCTTGAGCTGCTCCTTCGCGCCCGAGGAATTGGCCCGATACGAAACATTCTTGAGCAGACGCACCTTGACATCCATACACTGCACATCCGACTGGTTGTCCAACACAAGATGGAAGTTTATCTTCTGGCCTGGCACGTAGGCTGAATATGAGGTGCTCACATCCATAATCATAGGTTTGTGGGCTCCAAAAATGGAGCCCCACCAGAAGCTCTTCGACTCCAGGCGCTTGAGGGGTTCCTATGAAAAGAAAAACGCTTTAGCTTAGGAATTCAGAGGATCCATTGTTACCCACCTTGTACTCCGGTCGCTTATTCAGATCATGAGGCAAAATTACCGAGAAGCACTGCTTGAAGGTATTATTATATCGCACTGCCCGATCTATGGTTAGGGTGACCTCGTGTTTTATCTGACCATGAGCCCCATTAAAAGAGGTGGGTGCATTTGGGGGAATGGTTGTCCGGAAGGGGAAGACATATTTTCCCGTGGGCAGCTCCAGCTGGGATCCACCAGCTTGTCCGTAAACCGGCTGATCAGTACTGTAGTAGACCTCGGTGGTAGTGTGGGTCACCATCGACTTGGTCGTCTTCCCATCCTCGCCCACTCGCTCCTCGGCCTCCTGCCATCTCGTCTCGCCGTATCCATTGATGGTTATAAAGATCGCTGCAATTGGGTTAATTTATCTGTACTTCTGAGTATGTAATTCAATTATGCATTTACTTTAATTGTATTTGACCTTAGGCCTTTGTCTACTCGGATGTACTATTGTATTGGAAAATGAACGACAAGCCACACAAAAACATTTCGTTAATTGACTAACAATACTTCCGAGAACAATTTAATCATAAGCATAACAAAAAAATGGAATAGCTACCTAATAATGTTCACCGCTAACATTAAATATAAAATATATAGTCCGACTAATATACACCCTGTACAATATTAAAGAATTGGTTTATAATTTCCACACAAATAACTGTTTTCAAATCATATTATTATTTCTTCAATTTTGCTAGAAAATATATAGCAAATAGGAAAAATGATTAAATAAATTTGGTAATGGGAATAATAATTCTTTTAGACTCCTAGAGTTTGATTTCTAAAATATTTCTAATCCAACACAGAATTATTTGTTTATGCCAATATGCTCATGTAAACTTTGGTTCCTAATGGGAGTTTAAATCTTTCTCGACTACAATTACCCCTAATTCACAGAAATAGTAACTCAATAAGTTTGAATTGAAAGGTATCTCTGCACGAATGTGCTGACCAGTAAACTGAATCAAATGTCTAATATAAACGGCCGACGCAATTTCAAAACAAAACAAGTTTTTCTACCGCTATCAGATATCCGAAGCCAGCCAAGCGGCCACATGTGCGATGTATATAAAATTTCTATATACAAACAGATCTACCGGCAACAATAAAAAAAGCATCAGACAACAATACACCAACAATATTAATGACGACGCGACTACGCAACAAAAGTGGATGGGAAACTGAATTTGAATGGGGAGGTAGAGCCATGACGTCATGGTCGAGGGTCTATTAGAATACTGCGTCTTCCTCCACTTACATCTAATGGTTTTTGGACGCTCCGTAACCAGTTCCGCGGTGCCGGAGATTAGCTGACCGGCTTGATAGACGCCCAAGGGATTGCTGTCGAAGGAAAAGGTCACCTTGCTGCTCATCTTATTCAGAATTTGCTCCTTGGCGACGGTGTCAGGCGGTATCGGGATATCAAGTTCCTTTGTTTGTTTATTTTATTGATAGAGTGGCTCTTTGGGGAGTGGTTGTGTTCGGGGTCACCGGCAACTAAGCTCACAAGCACTGAACGCGAGCAGCCCTGGCTTAATACTGAATTCCCAAAGGCCTTCGGCAGAACTTTAACGCTATTTTCCACGTGTGAGTGTTTCTAAAATGTAAGAAGCAGTGGCAAAATGGGGAAGCACACGAAAAAATACAAGAAGTTTGATGCTCACTCCTTTTTTTCCTACTTTAAGTAATTGCTTATTTAAAAGTCTGTTAAACGTGTTAGTTTAAAAGAATTATAACAAAAGGTAAAAATTCAAGGTGGTATTAATGTTTTTATTGAAAAATAATGAAGTTATTTGAAAATAATTTTGTAGATAAACAATTTATTGATTTAGGCTTAATACAGTTCTGATTAATCAGTTAAATTCGGTTTTCTCCAAAAACAAATTTAAAACTTTTCACATAACCGCTTTAGCTCCTCACCTGCGAAGTGGCAACGCCGCGCGACAGCTGATTTTGCTATCGGACCATCACTCTCTGAGTTATCGAAAGAGAGCTGCAACTACAACAAAAGCGTAACTCTCGGGATCTCGTAAATTTATAAGAAATTTAATTATTCAACCCGCCAGCGGTCGGCAGCAATCGAATTAAATTAGACCAGGGTGTGTGACAAACACTTGTGGGCCATTGCAGTTAATAGATTTCGAGGTTGCCAAAGAACTGGCCAAAGGCAGCGCGAAAAAGCTCCGGTGTGTGTAGTAAATCGTAAATCTGTGGTTGTGGTAGAGTGCGTGTGGTGGGGCAACTATTCTGCATATATTTTAGGGTGGTACGGTGGTTCGATGGTGCAGTGCATCTAAGTTTCCTATGTGGCGGCATTTTGATGACGAAATTATTTTTGGATAAGTGTTTGATGAGAGCGGCTAAGTCGGAGCAATCATCATCAGCGGAATGGAGAGCGAGCGGTTACGAATTACGCTGGATAGTGCGGATCGGGTTTACTTTGCGGGCGACATAATTCGCGGAGAAATCTGGATGAACCTTAACAAGCGCGCCAAAATACGTGGTAAGTGTAGTTCGAGCAAATCCGATGAATTCCAGGAAGTCTCATCTCAAAGCCCGGCTTGCATCATTCGTGACTCAAGCAGCCGCACACTGCAAGAAATCATTTATATTATTTCATGATTTGGTTTATTTACCTATTGGGTTTCTTTTACAACTAAAAGAGGTTTTATATTCATTCGTTGAAGGAACTTGGAACCCGTGCTTTTTTTGTTTTACATCGTTTCATCTAATGTAAACAAATGTAAACAATTTATTACAATCTATCATTATTACACATTTGTATGCTGCATTGTCAGCAGTTATTTACCCATTGTGTGTTTGATGGCCAGCTGGACTTTTGATGCGGCCCGATTCACTTAAACAAAGAACTTCATCAGTTAACAAAGCACAGCGGCCATTTTATGGGGCTACTCCCCGCCTGCCCCTCCTACACAATGCGGCGATTCTTGCTCGCAAATTCCTCCAATTGCCTTTTGCACTCGCCTTTCATTCATCGATAAGCATTCAATTGCCTCCCCGTGCAGTTGCAATTGAATTTGCTCTCCTTCTTCTTAAGCACTGGCATTTGTTTCAGGAAATGCCAAAACGCAAAGGCAACGCACGGGTGCGAGAGAGGGGGTGGGTGGGGGCCAGTGAGAGGAGCTCTCTGTTGGCGTGCCGAAAATGCCGTAATATGGGGCCAAGCGCAAAGTCAGGTCTACGCAGAGTGGTGAGAGAGCGTTCTCACTACAGTATGCTAAGCAAAACATTAACTAACACAAACATGTTTTCTTTTTTTTTGTTTTAAGCAAGATCATTTTAATAAACATCTTTATAATCCAAGAAGACATTCTGTTGTATAAAAAAATTAACTTAAGGTTTGCTGACCAACTTATTAGACAGTCCACTGTAGTCTGACCGTCTCTCTGTTGTGATTTGGCTCCTGTGCAGGTGTGCGTGAGAACTGGCCAGCAGCTGGTCCGCTGCATGTGTGCGTGAGAGAGTTTGGGAGCAGAAGTAAATGGGAGCGCCAAACTATCCCGCATCTTTCGGGTTTTGTTGCGCTACGCGTAAAATAAAGGGCATTCGGCTAGCATCAGGTGAAGCCATACATAAATGTAGACCTTACACTTCAGACAAAGTGTTAGTGGACTTGAGTCTTAAAATAAATGGACAGCTGTCCGTTAACTGCCCCAAAGTCAAAGTCGGCCGTTACGTTATCAGCGTAAATATAACAAACGCGATTTATTATCAGAGCACAGACTACTAGTACAAAAATATGTTTATACAAAAAAGAGGGGTGCTTGGTTTTCATGAAGGGGAATGCTTAGTGGGGAAATAAGGAATACATGACAGCTGCCACATCATAAGGCTTCGCAATTACATTAATTAAACGCCTTCTCATTCGATCCGGCCCAAAAACATACATATTACATATGTACTCAAATCTATATATATCTATTATGTTGTGTATTTAATTGAACACAGCAGTTTATCATTAGTTTGTGCACAATGGATGAAATTCTGGCTCGTCCCTTTACGCTTTAATGTGGTCCCTAAGAAATTGTTCCACACGCGGCCAGATATCGTTGGTCCTTCGTCCCATGAAGGTGGTGACCAGTCCTTGCTCTTTGTACCAAGCTATGACAGGACTCATAAGTTCATCGTAGAGCTTCAGCCGCTTGGCCACCACATCTGGTTTGTCGTCCTCACGTTGGGTCAGTGCTTCGCCCGTTACATCGTCCTTGCCAGGCACCTTGGGATCGTGAAATCCAATGTTATACACCCTGCCTGAGGGTGCGTGAATCCAGCGGTTCTTGACTCGATCGATGATTACATCGTGTGGAATGTCTAGCGTAAGCACGGCATCGATCTGCTCGCGGGCACACAGCGCCTCTGCCTGGGCGATATTGCGCGGAAATCCATCAAGGATGTACGACTTATTGCCCACCTCGGTTATCCGCCCCAGCATCGACTTGGTTACGATCTCATCCGGCACCAGTTGACCTTTCGCTATGTACTCCTTTGCTTTCTTCCCCAGTTCGGTGTTTTTCATGATGTTCTGGCGCAGAATATCGCCCGTTGAGATGTGCATAAGTCCATAAGTCTTAACAATTAGCTCCGAAATGGTTCCTTTACCCGAGCCGGGAGCTCCGATTATCACAGCGCGAAAGATTTTCGTATACATGACTAGGCTCTACTTCCTTCGAGCTGCAAAATACAAAGTATAGAATTACTACATACACAGAGAAAAAACTAAGTAGATTAAGTATATAATTTGAGTAGATTTTTTCTGTGTAAGGTTAATAACTGATAACTATGCTCGGAACACTTAAAATAGCTCCAAACTAAATTCACTTGTTGACCACATATTTTTAATCTTTATGGGTGAGATAAGATTATTAAGCACGCAACGATTGTTTGATACAAAGGTGAAGAAGGTTACAGTTTTCGCTACACTTTGTTTTTTATGACTAATCTTGGAATCGAACCAAAGATTCCATTCACACATTATAACAAAAGTAACGACCATGGGACACTTGTCAGCTGTTGTGCCAATTATCCGCATAAATCAATATGCCGCATGGCAACAAGTGTAGCGCACTCACTCCCGAGAGCGGCAACAACAAACACAGAAGAGGCAAGCGTGGCTTTTCAGCCTTATGTTCTTTGTTTCGTGTAAAACAGTGTTATTGTTGTTGTTGCGCGCTTATCGTCCAAAGTCCAAAGGAAAATTAAAGAATAAGTTTCAATGCCGCGCGTGCTGTGGATTTTTTCTGCACTTCTGCATTTCTGCACTTCACTTGGCCCTGCACTTTTACTAGCTTTCGTTATGTAAATTAGCAGCTCGTAAAATCACCTCTTTTCGCACTTACACGGCACTTTGATTTTTCGTATTTTTTTGGGGGAAAATTTCCGGTGTCCCCGTATCTCGGTATCAATTCTCGCTCGCGTACTAATTGTGCGATAACTTGTCGCCGTTAGTATTCTAATTTGGTGTCCGCAGCTGCGGCGTCTGTTTTATTTGTTTTCCTTTTTTTTTTTTGGGTTCCGCTGCTGCCGGCTGGCGAATATCAAATGAAACAAGACATTATCTTGGCGTAAGTGTTTGGCTCTTGTTGTTTAGTTTCCAGGCTTGCCTCTCTCGTTCTCTTTCGCCCACGAGTCCCCAACTGGCAGCCGGTTTTTTTCCTCTATGTTCTGCTCTCGCTCAAATGCAATATAAGGGGGGATAGGGGGATGGGCGGCTGTTTCCCTCGCTCACAGTGCAGTTGAGCTCTCCGGCTTTTGGGGGACTCTCTCTTACTCTCTTACTGGGCGTCCGTTGTGAGCAACTGCAATTTGGACTTTGATTAAAATATCTTAAATATGCAAAATTTTTGTTATAAAACTAAAAACATTTTTGTATTTTATTGTGAAAGGTGAGCAAAATGTCAAAGTCTTGTGACTCAGTTTAAATAAGAAATACTAACATGTTTAATGTTTTTACGAAATTATTAAAAAAAAATAATAAATAAAATAATAAATGGTTCTAGGATTGACTTTCAAAATGAATCCTTTTTGTATTTTAAGCTCAATCTAGCCTTACCAGTCTGGAGGTTTTTCATGACTTTTAGTATTCCTTAACATTCGTTGTTTTCCAAAACAACTTTATGTCTTGTACGGATTCTCTGTTTCTTTAATTGGGTATGAAGTAACCCACTAAAAGCGAAAGTAAAATTGCCAGAGGCATCTGGTAAGCTTTTATAAGTATAGTTTCTTTAATAACTTACCGATATTAGGTTCTAAATTTGTAAGCTGAAAAAAATCATTTACACAAAATCAAATCGAAAAAAAAAAATCGTAAAAAATCCACGTTTTTCATTGTTAGCGGCCGTTTAAAGATGATAAAAAGTTCGATTTATGCATTTAAGTCATGCGAATTTCGTTTCGAAAGCTTCTTTATTTATTATTTGAAGAACGAGTTCCAAAGGAGCGTTTTACAAATTTGAATATCAAAATCAAAAGATATCATCTAGAAGGAAACTTAACACTCGTAGTGCGTGTGGGCGTCGAGTTGGCTACTCCTTCACCTCCTTGGTGGCCCCAATGAGGTCTTGTTTCCGATCCCTCTGCATCTCCATTATCATTTCGTTCATCTGCTCAACGGAGGGCTCCGCATTGACCACTGCCTTTCCTTTATCCTCTGAACTTCTCTTCGCTGAGTTCCTATTGTCCTTGCCGTTTGGTGGATCCACGCCACGGGAGGCACTGCGTCTATCGTGATTGTACCAGGAGTACTTGCTGCGATTGACGGCGCCACGACCACGACCTCTACCCCTCGGCGGGTAGCGTGACTGGAAGCGACGCGGGCTGTGGCTGCGGGAACGGGAGCGACTGCGGCTGCGACTTCGGGAGCGGGAACGGCGATTGCGGGTCGCCGGCGATTGTGTGCGACGTGGTACAAACGGGGATTGCGTCCGGCGGGCCACAAATGGTGAAGGAGAGCGCCGTGGCACAAAGGGTGATGGAGTCCTTCGGCGACGATAGGACCTCGAGCGGCGATCACGTCGACTATCATATCGCCTGACCACAAAGCGATTTCCATAGCGCCGCGGCGAGAAACTACGTGAACGCGTGAAGCTGCGACGCCTGCGCGAACGAGACCTGCTTCTAGACCTTGATCTGGAGTCAGACCGCGAGTCACGACGACGGCTCTTATTCCTGGAGCGGGAATGCGACCTCCTCCTGCGCCGACGATAACTGGAGCGACTACGCGAGCGGCTACGACTTCTACTCCTGGTCCGACTGCGTGATCGGCTGCTGCTCCTAACAGGTTCCACTGGCGCTGCCAGACGCAGCATTCCCAGCTTGTCCATCTGCAGCGGTCGCTTGATCTGAAAAGAGAGTTTGGGGGCCGGTTCCGGGGGCTTCTTTTGTTCCTGAAACTTTGGCGCCGGTGGTGGATGATGGCCTCCAGAGCCAGAAACAGCGGCAGCATGCCGCGATGTGCTCGGTCCCATGCTGTCAAAGCTCGATTTTTTTGGTGGAGCTGTTACTTTTTTCATCGGCGGTGGGGGAGGCGGCGATTCTTGTCCTCCACCTCCTCCGCCACTTCCACCTCCTTCATCTTTTTTTTGTAGATAGTTTTTGATATTGGCCTTCAATTCCGCCTCATTGCTTGCACTGCTCATTAACCTAAAAGCAACAAAAATTTTGGGAGGTAAATCCGTTTTTTTTTTGTAGGGTCAACTGTGTTTACAACGTAAATGAATTATGCATTCCAAGTTAAAACTTAATTTGAGTTGTAAACACAGATTGGTATTATATATAATTCCCGGTACGTACTTGTCTTGCCTATCACAGTGGGTTAAGCAGGGAGATCTCAAGAGATTGTATATTTATTGTGCAAGGAGCATCTTTTGCTGAAACACTCACCTGAAGGCTTCTTGGAAGTCGATCTTCTTTAGCAACTCCATGGGATCCTCCGTTTCAGACTTGGTCTTTGACCTCCTCCTTTCCTTCTTGTCCTTTTTCTTCTTGCCCTTCTTCTTGGCCTTCTTGTGCTTGCTAGCATCGCGGAGAAGCTTCCGCACACTGGACACGGTCTCATCATCGTCCAGTCGGAACTCATTGGCCTTCTGGGCATCGATGACGGCCAACTTTTCCTCCCCCGACTTTTGGGCATAGAAGGGCTGACTGATGTTGGTCTTGCGCTTGCCAGCTACAATTGGAAATAGGTAATGGATCAAACGTTAAAATAAGATACACCTTGGATCAGTGCTAGTCCTTCTTCCACTGATCCCGACATGTACTTACCCTGCTCCTCGTTTTCACTTTCACTGGCACTCGAAGAGCTGGACTCGTCCGAAGAGTTGCCACCGGTCAGGTTGATCAGCTCGGTGCTGAGTTTATGCTTACCATCGGCACTTCGCTGCAGTGCGTCCAAGGATTGCCGTGCCTCCTCGTGCTGAGGCAGTAGGTTTAGGCAGTCGCTGTAGGCTTTGACCGCATCTGGGATACGATTCTCCTCCTCGTAACTGCGACCCAAAGCCACCAGGGTTTCACCCATGTACTTGCGCGCATTCACATGGTACTTGTTCAGGTGCAGGGCCTTCTCAAAGTCCTGCAACCCCTTGAGGAAGCTGCCGCGATTCGCGTAGAGGGCACCGCGTGCCACCAGACCCTCAACATTGCGCGGATCAATGTTCAAAGCCTTGTTCAGACACTGAAAGGCCTCGACCTGTTGGCCGTTCTTAAAGTGCTCGATGCCATCAGCCACGGAGCTGATCAGCGGCCAATCGATGAATGTGTCGAGTGCGATAGGGTGTACGATTGAATGGAATGACATACGCTCTCAAGTCTGAAGTCTGAGTATAAACTTACCGGAAGGCCCACTGGGATGCCTGCTTCTGTCGCAGCTCCGCGGCATTCTCCGCTTCGGGGAATCCGTTCTTCAGATGGCTCATCAGCGACAGATTCTCGTTGGGCTGCAAGCCATTGATCTGGAACAGCAAATCGTAGTTCGGATTCTCGAACTCCAAGGCAGCGTTAAGCTCATCTTCGAAGTGTGTGGCAGAAGGGTGCTCGGCGTTGTGGATTTTACTGCGGGAAAACCGTTGATTAAGAACGGATTAATACAAGAATTCATTGGGTAACTCCCTTTCATTACCGATAATACTTGGGCAACTCATTTATGTCGCAAAGCCCAAATTTAAGTTCTGGGGATTTGTTGAACATGCCAATCATGTTGAGTGCGAGTCGTTCGGTATCGGCAGAAATATTGTTAATCTCACAGCGCAGGATATCGTTTGCGGCAAAGGTGCGCGTATTACCCAGCTTGTCGAGGGGCAAAGGACCCCAGTAGTCCTGCAGAATCACGGCCTATAACAAAGTAATAATTAAAATGTGTTTTTATAAGAATAATTACCTATTTTCTTTTATGATGAATACGTATTAAAAAAATAACACTTCTGTTAACTACAAAACCAGTTAAGATAACAATTCAGCTTTTTGCTGTTCTGGATAAATGGTGAATGGGAAGTTCCCATCTTTATTAAATTCAACAAAACCTGCTTCTCACCTTAATGGGCATGTCGGCCAAGTAGGCGTGTTTGGGCTCGGCAGTGCAGAGTGGTTTCACCATCAGCCGGTTGCCGGTGGCCAATCTCGTCACCTGAGTGTAGATAATATCGCCCTGTTTCAAGGCACCCAATCGGTGGGCCCACGCCTTGCGTTTGTCCTTCACATTGAGAAAGAACTCGAAGGGGGCCATCTGGGCCATATAGTTCTTGCCTAAAAACGAAAGGAATTTACTCATGAAGATTTTACTATTGATTTTATTTGGGACCTCACCTTGTTCTATTACCGAATCCTCCATAACGTTCGCCACCAAAGTGCGGTCGTACAGATCCGTGGCCTTCCGCGCCAGAAACTGGTGCATCTTGAGCCTTTTCGCTCGCTCCTGAAAGGTGAAGTACTTCTGGCGCTCCTGGTAAACCGCATAGTTCACCTGGGTGAGACCCATCGCCCGCAAATCGTCCACGCCCCGCTCATCGTCCCAGATCTTTTGAAGCGGCTGTCCATGGTAGCCAAGGGCATGACCAATGTACTCAAAGTTCATCTTGCCAACTCCGTATTATCAAATTTACACCATTTAAAGATATTTTGTAGGTTCTTCAAAAGGCAAAGCGAACAAGAGATGAAAATCCCACACTAGATTCAATCAGCCGAAAAAATGTCGGCACCGGTGTGTGGTAAATTTAGCTATGCAAACACGCTTTTTGAGGCACTTTGGCCTGGATGCACAGAAGACCCGTCTATTTCTCCTTAATTGGTACTGAATTACTTTTATTTTTGCAAGAGCTAACCGCATAAAAAATAAATTTTCGGATCGGGCTGCTGGGTTTTGCTGTGCAGTGTTGCCAGATCGCGAAACGGCTTTGCCATTTGTGAAATGTCCTAAAAAAGGCAACTCCCCTTAATTGGGATCTCTTCCAAAAAGTTTCATTTTGGTTTGAATGTTGACTAATACGTTTGACTGTGCCTATCAAATTCTTTTTAAACTTTAAACTTTAAAATTCATTCTAAGCCAATAAATTAATTTTACAATTAAAAGGCTTTTTGCTTTCATCGATAATTTTTCAATTTATAAAGGTGAAAACGGCAAAATAATGTTATTGTCGACATTGGCATTGAAATAAATAACATGTAAAATATATGTAGAGCAATGGATGTCCCAAAAATATTCGCATCGTATGTAAAATACATGTAAAATGCTAATGTAGACAAAAGAACATTTTTAAAAAATGAGAATTGAGTTTTTATTAGCTGCCCTAAAACCCGTAATTGAGTTGAATCTGCAAGTTAATTTCACTAAACTTCTCTTTGCAGCGATCAAGGTGCAGGTCACCGGCAAGGGGAAATGCAAGTGGATGGAAATCCTGCGCAAGAACTCGAACAACAACGAGTACTCCCGCAGTCTTTTCTACACCAGCAAGGAGGTTTACGAGCACAGCGAGACTCCTCTTCCTGATTTCGAACCAAGAGGCTTGGAACTCTCGCCCGGGGAGCACACGTTCATCTTCGAAGTGGCGCTGGGTCGCCAGCTGCCCTCCAGTTTCAAGGGCAGCTATGGCAGCATCAAGTACAAGATGCGGGTGCTCATCCAGCGACCCTGGACCTTCGAGGAGCGGCACACCATTCCGTTCACCGTGGTGAAGAACATGCCGCTGCTGCCGTCGCAACGCAGTATTCCCAGTTCGCTGGAGAAGCAGGTGACCAAGACGATCAGCTTGTTTGGCACACGACCCATCACTTTGCTGGCCCTTTTGCCGGAGAACTTTGCGGTGCGTGGAGAACCGCTGAGGATTTGCGCCACTGTGATCAACAACAGCACCACCGCCGTGGAGAAGCTGCGCTTCAGTGTCCTGCAGTACGTCACCTACTACAGCCATGTACCGCTGCGGGTGCAGAAGGTGGAATGCATTGCGGTGGCCACCAAGGAAACGGGTTCCGTGCAGAAGAAGACCGAGCGCAGTTTTGCCCACGAGCTGCTCTTGCCGGAAGGAGCTCAGCCCACGGATGAGCAGTTGAGCGGCGTTATAACGATCGTATACGAGCTACGCGTGGAGGCGGTGCTGCGGGGATTCTTCAAGAACCTGGTACTTAACCTTCCGTTCAAGGTTTACTCCCAGGACACTTCCAATAGGCTGAATTCGATGCGCCCGCCGCCGCCTCCGCGCCCAAACGATGGTCCACCCGGTCCGGATGTGAGCACCGGCGGGAATCCCTTCGAGCCCGCCCTGCCCGTCTACCCGTCGCTGGACTCCTCCATTGGATCGCCATCGCACTCCTCGCAGTTCAGCGAGTGCAGCTCCATCAACTCGATAACCTCGGACTCCTCGGCGGCCACCTTGAGTCCCGCCGTGGGCGGCGGAGCCGGTGGCATGGAGTTGTCCTACACCTCGGGATCGCAGTCCTCGCAGTACGGCAGTCCATCGGCCAGGACCAGCTTGCGCAGCTCCAACGTGCCCTACATGCCGTACTCTTCCAGTCCGCTGATGGTGCAGTCCTACCCACCGCCCCACCTGCCCGCCTATCCGCTGCCGGAGTCGCCGCAGTACTCGCTCCTTGCCTTGACCCCACCGCCGACTGGAGTGGCCGCCGCCGCACCGCCAGCGGCGAATGGAGCAGCCAGCGGAGGAGCAGCAGCAGCAGGAGCAGGAGCTCCGGGCTACAGCCAACTGCCTTCCACCTCGGCATCGTCGTCGTTTCTGCAGGCTCGCCAACCGCCAGGAGCCCATGAGTTGCGTAAGTCTACATCATATATACTTAATTCATGAACTATATTTTGGAGTTAAATAATTTAATTGATAAAAAGCTGGAAATATTTCAGGAAATATTTCAGAAATGAATAAGAATACTTCTGATCATTTCATCGTTTTAAATTTAATTTATTTCTGTTTAAATCTAAATGCTTTTTACAACCGATTCAAAGAGTTCCTCTTTTCCTATTTTTCAGCACCTTCCTACGAAGAACTTTTCGGCATGGCCACCGCACCTCCTGGATCTCCTAAGTAGGGAGCAAATCGAAGTCCTGAGCAGCCACCCAGTTACGTCCAAGCTTTGCCTAGACATAGCGCTTCAGGTTTACTTTATAGTGTTATAGAGTATCAAGATATCGAATATATCATAGACCGCCTACGCTTTCGACACAAATGTTTTGCTATTTGTGCACAAATAAGACGCACAATTTTCTCTTACGGACAATATAACCGCATATATTTGTTTGATTTGGTTATAGCCTTCCATATAAAAGATGTATTTTAAAGCAAACTTGAAGTTCTGTTTGGCTAAGGCAAATAGTTTTAGTAGCTTGGTCAGATTTCCCAATTTCATTTCATTTAAATTCATTTATTGTTGAATTTGTATAGCAAACTAAACTGTGAAAATTCTCTTTTTTGTTTTGCATATTTATTTTTGAAACCAACTAACAATTTAGAGTGCACCAGTAAATACATATATCAGCCATTCATACTGGATTCCTATTCACATCTTGCCAGAATTTAATTTTAACACATTTCAATAAAATGCTCATCTATTTGCCTTTTCCAAAAAACTAGAAATTGAGCTTAGAAACCCCAAATTGCATCTTTAGTAAGAAAATCTGGAGGTCTATGAGATAATAAGCTTGTTTGAAAAAAGTAGATAGAAACTACAGAAGAAAACTATTTGCCCAACCAATTAGGCAAAATTCAACTGCATCTATTTAATATATAATAAAATAAATTATATTATAAATTAGCTGAACAAAATATTTAACACAACCAATTAATTAGGCGAAACTAATTTTTTCCTAGTAACTTATTATATACAATCAAAAGAAGATTAAGTCTAACTTGGGAAAGTCTGCGTTTCGTTCTTCTTGTTTATCGAATGTAACTTTTATGCCGCCCTTACCCAGAGAGCCAAACTCTGCGCATTTCTACGATCTAAATCTTGTGAGTTACTCAAAGACTCATGAGTATATATCTCACATCTCACCATAACTCGAAAGATATTTTCCAACCCGCCTATTTATCTCACATCTCTTATTTGTTTACGTCCACATCTCCAAAGATGCTTATGAATACGATTTATAGATCTAGTGTCTCTATGAAATTCTATACCAAAACAGGTCTAACATTTATGTTTATTTATTTCTCTCTCTTCATCAAATGTTTAGCATTTAAGTACTTAAGCACGAATCGAATATGTTGGAGGATAGTTTGATTCCTTCAAGCCAGAAGAATCATTGAATCAATAAGCTTTAGTGCCTCTGTATGATGAACAAATCGAATGGTTATCGTTAATGAACACAAATCTATCGATGAACAATTTTTATACACATATTACTGATAAATCATCGTTCGGAAGCAATGTCAACTTTTAGTTTTAAGCGCACAAATATTATGTACGATCAAACGATTTCATTAAGGTGCTTCACAAATCACTATTTTTGGATACCAATTTTTTGTTTTCCTTCAATTTAGTGCATGTCGACTAAATTTGAATATGATTTACATAAACGAAATAAAATGTTATTATAATTACAAAGTGTGAGATTTTCTTTAAAATGGATTTTCAATGAAATGAAAATTACTCCATAAACTAGCGACAAAATTAAGAACTTTATACATTATATTTTGAGAGTTTTTATTTTATTTGGAGTTGGAAAACCAATTTATACCTTTACAAATTGTTGTACCTTTTGAGACTTTAGAAGCACACAAATAGGTTACAAACTATTCCCCAGTTAAAGCACGTCATGTTACAACCTCATGTAGCAAGCCCTCAAAAAAAGCGTAGTTCTTGTACGTGTTAAATTACAATTTCAAGTGCTTGAAGGAAAGTGCGTTGCTGTCGCCCACGCAGCTATGTACCTATGTCTACTTCTACCTCTTGGCTGGTGAAAAAGTGGGTGGAAAGGTGGGGTGATGGTTGTTCAGGTGAGCTGGTGAACGTGTGCGGCTTTCGTAACAAGTAACGGAAGTGTTAAGTCAGCTGTAATTGTTTTCTTTCATATTTTTCCAGTTGCCGCTGTCGAGGGCGACAATTTAGTTTGGCCAGCAGCGACCCTCGGGGGCGAGAATCAGAGTAACCATAAATTATACTCCACATTGCGATGGGGCTGCCCGCATGAAAGGCATACATAAACAAAATTGTTAAATAATAGCGACATTTAGCGGAAGTGTACTGCCAGCCGCATTCAGCAAACTTCAGCACGCGCGACAAACGATCGCGGTCCTCATTGTTTGCCCGATTCACTCCCCCCGTTTCCATTTCGTCAAATTATAGAGGTGCTAGAACCGAACTTAGCCAAACTCACCCCACATTCTGTGTACTTAAATGTCTTAATCGCTGTGGGGCTCAACTTCCATTTGACTTTCCAGCGGGGGTGGAAGGTTAATGATTTGTTGACCATTCCGAGGTCGCAAGTGCTGCAATTTGAGGCTTTGCTTTTCGGCATCGAACGTGCCACTAAGTGATATTAAGTATGCGCCGTGTGTGCTGCTGCCGATAGAGATTGATAAACACGTACGCATATGTCAGTTAATAAAGATTCTAATATTATTTTTATGTGCTAATAAATCAAAAGTTTATTGCCAAAATGTTTTTTTTTTAAATCATGTAAAACAATTATTTATTTTTTCTAATTATTTGTGCTTTCTAAATTTGATAGACAAACAATCTTTCAACTCTACCTTTTATTATTGAACACTTGAGAAAACCCTTGGCTTTTCATTTGCTATTTCGAAATAGACCTACCGAAAACTTTTGACCCACATGCCAAATTGCACAATGATCGAGTTTTTATTAAAACTTGAGCACACATGCCGGAAAAACCCCTTATCCTTTTCTGCAGGCAAAAATCCGGAGCCATCTGCGTCATCGAATGACTGGGAATTAGTTTATTCCACTGTCCAAAGAGACAGAAAAACGGGAGGAAGGGGGAAGGGGAAATCGAAGGAAGCCAAAAGAGCACGTTAAAAAAGACTGGGCACATGGCCTAATGCCAAATAACCAAATCAAAACTAATCAAGCAGAAGTTACTGCAACTGCCGCACAGCAGGTGGCATCATCATTCGACTTTCCAAAGGTTTCGATGGACGTGGACGTGGACGTGGACGGGTGTGTTCTGGCCACAGTGAAAATGGTTTTAAATTGCTGCCTGATTGTCTTTCAAGTTGGCCCACACTTGTGGCTCCTTGGCTCCTTTCCTTTTTCTCGCAGTAACCTTCCCTCGACTGTGACTGAAATTTAATCAAGCGTTGAAATTTTTGCACGTACGTATTTCTATTTCTATTTCTATCATATTCAATGGCCGCTCCAATTTCTGGCTTTTGGTCACATGTGCGACTCTCTGTCCGTTGTGGTCACAGTGGGTTACGTTTTCCTGTCCAACTCCTGCTCCTGCTCCTCATCCTCATCCTTATTCACATCCTCGCTGATTTTGCCCGACTTGTGTGTGAATGGTCCCGAAACGAACTCACAGTTCGTTCGGGGGCAACAGTTGCCAAAGACTGTGACCCTCTTGGCCCCATCCCGAATTATGTTTTTTTTTGTCGGTGGTAGTTGGCCTGGCCGCTTCATTAAGCTTTTTTGTTGCCTGGCAGCAAGCTGTGACGGATTCGAGGAGTTCGACTTTGTTTGTGTTCTTTTTTAGGGATTTCCTTGAAAGGAGGTTAGCCATGCGATAATTGGCGGGAGACTTTCACTCACGAAAATATAACTTGCTTACGTATTAAGCTGCATGAATATGGGATCAAATTTTATTAAAGTTGGTGTGCTTCAAATTTAAATTAGAAATAAAGACAGGATGTTTATAAAAAGAAATCTGATACCAAAACAGTTTTCTTTAAATTCATTTATTGCTATTAAATCTGTATTTGCATTTAAATATTTATTTTAATATTTTTTAAGTGGCTAATTCCTTCTTTTAATAAATATAACCAATCAGTGTTTTTTCTATCGAGCTCCAATTTAGTTGCAATCGAAGCAGCAACATCTTGTCTTCGTTTTAATATCAATTTGACACAGTTGTTGGCCTCCACGTGCCGTTCATTTTTCTGTGCAATTTGATTGCAGGACCCTCTTGCAGAACCCCCCTTTTTCCCGCCGCCCTTGGCACGCATACAGTACAGAACCGCACAATATGTTGCAATTTCTGTTAATTTCGTTATTGAGACACGTTCGCTCCAACTGCGGGCGGGCACAACTTGCCATCGAATTCCCTCTGCGGCGGTGAAGATGAACTGCAGCTGTCCGCCGGACGTAGAGGAATTTTTCCAGTGGTGATAGAGTCGAGTTCCCCAACTAAGCTCCGATGGATTGATGCGAGAAGGAGCGGAGTGGAGTTTATCCACTGGCCGATTGGCAAAAGAAGCCACAGCAAAAGCTTGCGGTGTGTGCATATAATTTGATATGCCGGCGAGCTAAAAGTGGCCAAGGATAAAAAAATTCTTAAGAGCCAAGCAGTCAAGCCAGCCAACCCAGCCAATTTTCGATGGCCAGAGGCCACAACAAAGAACTTGGCTGCTGAGCAATTCTTGAGCGTTTAAGCAGCAGTCCTGTTGTGCAAGCAAATCAACTTGCTCTTTGGCAATTAACATTTGCAAACCCATTCGAGTGTGAAATATTCGAAAGCCATTGGATGGCCATATTTTCGGCAAGTGAAATTCCGAAATAGATCTTTATTTACTAAATAGCGTTTGATTACCTTCTAGCCACATCGTTTTGCAAGGTTCGCCAAACTGTTTTCAATCAATTTCCCCACTGACTCTTAATTGACAATTAAAACACTTTTGGCTGTGACTAGCATAACATTTTCTTTGATGATGTAACACGGCAAATAAACAAAAGCTGCACTTTTTGTGCATTTCCCCAGCTGTGTGAGCGCTCAGTCAATAAATATGCAATTAATGTGCAAAAATCAACATAATCAAATTACGAGCGTTTGATTGGTTAAATTGAATTTATAATGATGGCCGAACCGTTTTCGCTGTTGGATAATCAGTTTAGCATTGTAATGCCAGAAAGTATCTGTGGCTCAATTCAAATTGTTCGCTAAACCAGAAACACGCATAAAAACACAGCGAGCAAAAATGTATGCAAATAAGTAAAACATTTATATGCATTAACACTTTAATCTGTGACAGGGCTGATTTTATACGCTCAATTGAATTAAAGATATTTGCTGAAAACAATTTCCAGCAAAAAAGCAATTGCAATATTTGCGTAATGAATGTCTACTCATTCCCCTACCCGCAACTCCATTCGAATTTATTGCACTTAACCTGTGCAAAATGTTAACATTTAATCAAATCAAAACAAGCTAACCACCCAATCGCATACCAAGATCATGCCAAAGCAGCAAAAAATGCAATAAATATTTGATTGGTTTTTATGACAGGGAAAAAACACGAAAAATGCAAATAAAAGTAAAGAAAAACATATGCATATAATTAGTAGCGAGCTAAAATTTGATTTGACCAGCAAAATTTAACGAGGAAATGGAAACCAAATGGAATTAAAATCAATTTCGCACTGGAAAGGAAAAATGGCAGTGAAGAAAATAAAGTAAAATTCATAAAAAACTTAAAAGGTTATATACGGAAATAGCAATTTATCCTTTGAATGTATTCTTTACATTACTTTAAAATTTTTATTTTTGTTAGGTATGAGATCAAGTTTAGAAGAGTTACAACTTATAATTTGAATAATGATTTAGTTCAGTGCAGTTGTGCAAAAATAATATTTAAATACTTTTAAATGGCAGTTCATTTAATTTTGGCGCTTGACACACACAATAAAAATTCCAATATACCTATAGAAGAAATAATTTATCTAATTTTATAAATTCGATCCCTAGAATTTGCTAAAAATAAATTGGTTAACTAGGAATGCCGACGCAGCCGCAGGACGACAAACGAACCTGAGTTCCGAGAGATGGCCAAACAAGTAAATCAAATTAGATCGGAATGTTACGGTATGCCAGTATTCCTGCCTGGGACGAAATACTTGTCCGACATTCAAACCGGTGGGTCCAAGGACCTGCCGGCCACATTCCTGTGGCTGTTGTGCCAGTCGAAAGTGTCCTTGCTGGGAAAATATCCAAATTAATAAAATACAAATATTCACAGTGCCGGGCGTAAGTTAACCGACGGAAGCAGTTGATTAGTCTGCCATGACAATGCCAAGGATTTTTCACATTCCATGTGCAAATTGATTCAATTATTGGCATTTAATTAAATGCAAATAGACGTTTGCCCACCTGTCCCCATTCGGTTTGCTCCCACCCTCCTCCTTCTTCTCCTGCCGCCAGTTTTGAGAACTTCATTAAAATGCCAACCCACGAGGACGCAGAGCTCGAAACCAAAACCAAATATTTCGTTCATTTCATTTTGCCAAATTTAAATGCCCCTTGACAAAAGCTTCGACCGCTTACCCCCACACAAAACGAATCCTGAATAGATTTACAGTGAACAAAAATTAAATGGTTATAAAAATAATAATAGTAATAATAATAATAATAATAATAATAAAATAAAAATAAT